TGGCTTGACACTTCATGCAGTCGCAGCAGAAAATGGCAAATAACACGCATACTGAATTATACAATAGCACTCATCATCACAGTTTAGAAGTCCCTGGATGTTTAGCGTGCATTAGTAGAGGGGAAGAGTAACTATTGCTGGTATTTTGCTTGGTTAGGCCAAAATATTTCATTTTCTTAATTGGAAACTAATTCTGCCTGAATACAAAATGTGTTTCGCAACACGAGTATTGCCTCAGCATAGAGAATGCATTTCACAACAAGAGCATCTAATGCAGCTGTAAGACGGGTTGGCTGCTGTGAGTCAACAAAAAGTCCTGTTGTAATACTTGTGTAAACAATGTGTTGTTTTCTTACGACAGGTGACTTTGACGCCTCTGAACTGAGTGACGTAGAACAAAGCCAGGTCTGTTACTACCACTCACTCAGTCTCAAAGTCATAATCATGTCCTGTATGTGAAAATATGTGTCTTAAAACTTGAAAGACACATGGTAGTGATAGGATTATCTAAAACTATGTGTTTTATTCATTTGCCAATGATTTCCACTTCAGGACTGGCTTAGCGGTGATCCACAGGATATGAAAGAGCTATTGGATAAACTGACACAGGAAAAGCACCAAATGGCTCAGCTGGAAGCTCAGCTCCAGGTCAGAGTACCATCTGAATTCAAGCTAATCATGCTGTGTTAATGCACAGCAATAAATAGACAGCATGTCGTCAATACATTTCAATGTTTATTGTTTAGTCGTGCAGAACCTCATGCTATTTGTCTTTATTTCTTAGTCTCAGAAAGAAGAACTTGACCTGGCACTGAAGGCAGTAGCAGTGAGCGGCGATGAGAAGGGAAAAGCAGATCTGGAAAAAGAAAATGTGAAGCTGAAGGACGAGCTGTCATCTCTGCCTGAGCTGAAGAAAGAGCTGGAGAGTCTGAGGTCCAGGGTGACTGAACTCCGCCAGCTCTCAGGTACATGTGGCAAACAGGAAGTGAATCAGATCAATATGAAATCAAATCTGGTATGATAGAAATCTACTATGAAAGTAATAACATTTAATTCCTCAGAGTGCTAATCTTTTCTTTCTGATATAATAACATTTTATATTTTGAATCTTTCACAGCTGATGAGGAAATGCCTCCCGCTACCTCGAGCTCAGCCCCTCAGCCCGGGGACAAAGAGGGTCAGAGTAACCAGAAAGGAGATGCACCCGAGAGGAAGAAGGACACATATGATGGAGGAAGACTGAAGGAAGAACTCCACAGGCAGAAGGTTCTTCTTGAGGAGAGCAAGAAGAGACTGCAAGGGATGAAGAAAAACGGAGGCGACAGGAAACGAGTGAGGGACAGTTTGGAGGAGATCCGGAAGAGGCTTTCTGAACAGGTGGAGCGGTGGGGGAAGAAGAAGCCACAGGAGCCCAAATGGAAAGGAAACAAGGGCAAAAATAATGAGCAGTGGAAGAAAGACGAAAAGAAAGAGTGGAGAGGGGAGAAAGATAGGAAGAAAGAGGGAGGCTGGAGAGAGAAAGAAGAGAAGAAGCAAAACTCTCACAAAGAGGCGTGGAGGAAAAACCAGGCCGAGTGGGAGAGGAAGAAGGACGAGCGCAGGATGGACAGAGAGGAGAGGAGGAAGGAGAAACCGTGGCACAGCCATCATGGCAAGAGCTTCCACCAGCAGCCCCATCACTCCCACCAGCAGCCCCATCACTCCCACCAGCAGCCCCATCACTCCCATCAGCCTCAGCAGCACAAGCATAGCGACTTCTGGAGGGACCAGGAGCAGAAGCTCAGACGCAGCGTGCACTCCCAGCCGGGCTGCACCTCGGTGGAGGACTGCGCAGGCAAGGAGGGGCTCTACCCGGTGGAGCTGCCCGAGTTCGAGGAGCTGCTGGAGGGGTACCTGAGCAAGCTGGAGGTGTCCTCGTCCGAGAGCAAAGACAAGATCAGGAAGCTGACGGCGGAGTTCTTCGAGGACGGCGTGTTCATCCACGACAGGGTTCTCTTCAGTGACTTTGCCGAAGACGTGGCAGACATCCTGGAGGACATGGTGGACATTTTGGAGGGCAAGGGGCAGAAGGACGACGACTCCCTGGAGGAGGAGATGGAGGAGTTTGAACGGGAGGCCCTGTGGAAGTTTGCCGCCACGGCTTGAATAGACAAAGAGGGGGAAAGTAATCAAAAATGGCGCTAAGATACAGCACCGCCGGTGGTTTTATAGGACATCTCTTGCCTACATTCTCCTCTTCAGAGCTGTAATGGTAGTAGCTTCTGGTACAGAGTGGTCGTGCCGCTCATTAATGTGTCCCCTTGAGTCTTTAATTATAAGCTAGACTTGTTGTCTTTTTTGACTTAGTTGTTGTTACCTACCTCTGTCAGGTCATGCCTCCTAATGCAAAGTCCTTCAGTAGTGTGTTGTGTGGATTTTCCTCTGCTGTATAGTGTTTTCTCAATACCTAGTGCATGTTGCAGTTCATCATGTAAATTCAAACTGATATAGTCAAATCATACAGAACAATGGGCGATGGTAATTGCAAAAAAGAATTCTGTGAAGCAACGTCGCAGTGCTTTGAAATATTCTCACAGTTCAAATGAGTTCAGAAAGGCTTGTTGAATACTTCTCTGTCATTGAACTGTGTGAAAACAGCGTGCCACTGCGAGCAGGTTTAAACAAATGCTGAGAATTATTATTTCTTTTGCCTCAAGTCGTCTGTAGCTGTCTAATCCCAGAGGATGAGATCCCGGTTCTTTCAGTGATGAGAATCAGATCAGGTCAGACCAGTTTTTTGAGTGGATTTGGGCAAACACACACAGTGCAGTTTCAGAGCCCTGAGCGTTTAGTTTATACATTTGTCAGACGTTTCATCCTGCAACTCCCAACTGTCAGTCGATGGCAGATGTGCTGAACAAGGAACCGGTTTGAGAAACGTCAGTTGTAAAGAAAAAAGCAATAGGATGAAGTGATCGCCATAGCTACATTTATGATTGCTAAACCACCCTAGCACTTTTCAAAAACATTCACATTTACAGCAAAGTTTATTTTCTCTATTGTGTTTTTTTAAAGAACTCTCTTTAATATTTTTGTAATGTAGCCATGGGGACCTCCAACACAAGATCTATATAAATATATACTGGGTATCCCAGAGCATCAGAGTCAAAAGGATAGACTTAATGTCCTGTAAATGAGATTGGCAACCAAAACAGTATATTTGTCATTGTCCCTTTATTCTGTTCACAGGTTGATGTGAACTGACATGCACACACCTGATATAGTACACGTTATTGAGTTCAAGCAAATGCTAAAATGAGGAAGCTGCTGAGCCGGACACACAAAACAAAGTCCATCAAGTATTGCAGCACTGCGTTACAGTGTTGGCCAGTTTAAAGTGTTCCCTCTTTAGGTGGATGTGAAGTTAAAGTCGACAGATAGTGATTGTTGGTTCTCATTTTTCAGGAGCTTTGGAGTGTTTCATGTTTATTTATTCTGTCAGTACGCTGAAACTCTTTCCCTTCTTTTTAATAAGACTTTGTCCCAGGCCACACGCATGGAATGTGAATATTGTGAACTATTTCAGTTACTTCAGAGATTTAGTTTGCCAGCTACTGCTTACGTGCCTTTATTATTATTATGAATATCTTCGAGTGGTCGTGGATTTCATTTGCTTCTGCAAGATAAGGAAGAAAAGTTTACACTGCTCCTAATGGGGCTGTTTATAAGGCAGAGAATGAATTCCAAAGGGTTTACACATGAAGTGTTAAACGTTCTCTGCTGTTTGCAAAGAGGAACTTTTTATTTAGAAAGTTTTAAGACCAAAGGGATCGGAAGAAAGCTTAATTTCATTAGAAGAATCCTTAGTTTAATGAAACACATTTATGAACGTTTAGAGCATTTTTTTTGTGTCATTCTGGGACGACGGTAGGGCTCTGTGCTTACTGCTATTGTAGGATCTGGCTCAGACGTGCATGTGAATGATCCCTGGACAAATGTATTGAACAATTTGATTAATTTGAATTTCATTCGTCATCATTTATGTCCTCTTTTAGGAAGTCGGTGTTAAGTTCAATAAATCTTGCACCATTAAATGTGTTACGTTTGTCTTTACTAAAAAAGCTTTAGCTTATTTTCTATATGAAGTAAATCATAAAATACATCCACTGCTTTAGATGGATTGTATTTAGTTAAATGTACAGTGATACCCAGCACATGTGTGACTCACTGTCTGACAGGAAGTGGATGTGTTGGTATGACAGCCATGATGCCCAACTAAAATATTCACATCTAGATTAAATACTTTGAGCGGGAGGTTACATGTTCACAGGCACCAACTCTCAGCCTGTAATCATACACAAACCAACCTGTGTGGCACTCACTGACCTGATTTGCGGATGAATGAGAATGCGTCCAGAATAATTAGTAACTACGACACTTCAGAGAGAGCTTGTCCTTCTTTGAATTCTGAAACAAGTCGCCATGCCAGCATTTCTGCACTAGGATTCCTTTATCGAGTTGCGACCTGATTGCAGAATAAAAGGTGACAAAGGCACATTAAACTACACATGGAGTAAACTACAACATATCTAAAAGATAATCTTGAGAAAGTTAAATTCCCCAAAATATCAGTAATCTCTCATTCTACATATCTTTAAACTCCTTTAACATGTAAAGTGACCATTTCTTCCTTCTCCATGCACATTAACTGCTGTACTTGGAAAGACTTACAGAGTGTGTTGTCCCTAATGCCGTGTTATTTGAGTCATGTTTTGTATAAACTGATTACTGCTTACACATGCACGATTCAGTCACTTGATTAGAACGGCCTGACAGAGATCCTTGCTCTGCAAACCGAATAGAAACGGCTTTTGTGCTTCCATCAGTACAAATGTGCCCTTTTGTAGGACAGTGTCAGTTTTTAGCTGTGTGTGTGTGCAGTTTTGAGTGGAAATCAGGCCGAGATAAGGTCAGGCGCTGGATGGGGGAGAAGAGGGCGAGTTGAGTGTTTTCCGCTGATGTGTGCGGAGATGAAGCGTATATATATTCAGAGAGGTGATGGTCAGAGTGGAGGCACAGGGTTCTTGATACCAGCTGAAACACACCACCACTCAGGATCTCAAACACTAAAGGTGAGGCCATTGCCATTGTTTTTTACAACAGTCAGACTTTGAAAGATGTTCGTTGAGGTTTCATTTCTTTACTTCTCAGGTCCCTGCACAAACCATCATGGAAGCTGCCATCTGCACCTTTGTCTCCCAGTTCAAGGCGTACGCTGGGAAAGATGGAGCCTCCAGCACTCTGAGCAGAGAGGAGTTCCACAACCTGGTGACCGCTCAGCTGCCCAACTATGTCAAGGTAAATTATAGAAGTGTATAATAGACCCTGCTTTCTACCTGACTTACATATCCAAGAAACTGTCATTTATGATGCAACATAACTGCAGACCTTTGAGATTTGACTGCAGTGTTATTCAGTACTGTATAGGCTACTGTCTGTGTATTGTTTTTCACAAAACGCCACATTTGTAATTGTACAATTCAAACTGTATATGAGAATGTAATATACGTTTATATTTCATATAGTTTTTGTGATTATTATTTTTATGTTCCATTTCGGTGCCCCATGTTTATGCTCAGAGGTGGAAGTAACTAAGTGTATCTACTAAAGTACTGCACTTACAGTAAGTACCATTTTATGCTACTTTGTACTTCTACTCCACTACAATGCAGAGGTACATGGTGTACTTTTACTCCACCATTCATTTAATACTTTAGTTACTTTGCAGATTTGGATTAATGATGTGAAATCTAATCAACACTTAAATCAGACTTTAGTTAAACCTGGATTAAATTCACAAGCTACCCATCAGTATACAAAGTTATTCAAACTAGCTGCACCTTTACCAGCTTTGATATCAAGTTAATAATCAATAATTATGATCCAAACATTTATTTATCTAAAATGGACCAATCTGCAGAATGAGTACTTTTACTTTTGGTACTAATACTCTTGTACTTTTACTTGATTAATATTTTGAATGCAGGACTTTTACTTGTAACAGATTATTTCTACACTCTGTGTACTTTTACTCAAGTACAAGGTCTGAGTACTTCTCCCACCTCTGTTTATGCTTTGTTTCAGTATATGAAATATCATTACAAGGTCTCAGACTGCAACATACAAATAATATATAGGGCTGCATGTTAAGCCAATTTTCTTTCTTACTCTACCTATAATTATTTTCTTTTGTTCCTGTGGAGTATATTGTGTATGATATTTCATACCTTTTGATGTGTATTACAATTACGTAGGTTGTCTTAGGGACATACATATTACTGCATTAGATGAAGGGAGGCAAGAAAACATTTGAAAAACTATAAAAAATACAGGTTTATTGGTTTGACTTCATAAATCCCTTTTTTTGTTTAACTGATTATCAAATGTGTTTATTTCAAATGTGTGATTGTAATGTTGAATCTCTGAAAGGGGAATTTTCCATTTTTTTCCATTTGTTTTTTGTACCACTGTTATCATCCAAGATATAGGACATTTAATCAAACCCATGCACAGAATCAAAAGGTTTTTTCTTCTTGAAGGATTTCATCATCAGGAAACTATTTTGTGGCTGTAATTGAATTAGTACCTCAGTTATATTCATTAACCATTAGGTGGCAGGACAGTCTTGCAGAGAGGTTGCAGCTTAGAGTGATCTCGTATCGATCTCCTCTCTGTGATCCTCAACAGAACGCCAGCGACCCCGGGGCCATCGATCAACTCATGGGCTCGCTGGATGAGAACAACGACGGGGAGCTGACTTTCCTCGAGTTCTGGCAGCTGATTGGAACACTGGCAAACAAGCAAGGAGGCTTCACCGAGTAGAGCTTGCCGTCTTCTGTCAAGATTGTGCACCACCAATCAACTCGATTGAAGTCGTCCCACTGTAAACTCAGAGGCATTTCTTTTATCACTCCACCAGTGCCACATGTGTAACTCTTTGGTTAACCATTTGTTGAATGCAGGGAACTTTGAATTAAAGGCTACATTGTCCTGAGCCCTCAGCCACCAACACTCACTGTCCTGTCATTCATTCACCACATTATATGATGTACCATGCACCCACATTTGAGCGGGAGTGTATTACAGACTTGATTTAGGGGCCTGTAATCCTATATGCGCTACTGCTGCCACAAATAAACCATCCGCCCCATATCTTGTTCCATAGAGCTTCATAATGCCTACACAAAGCGTCCTTTCCAAGCGTTAAGCATAAACCATAGCCGGATCTTTACTGTCTCTCACTAAGGCCTCAGTGAACTGTGTAATTGGGATATGTGAACCACATACATCACATTAAGTTTGTGACATGTTGAGCTTTGTAGTCTAAATGCATTGTCCTTGTTTAGTTGTTAATTATCTGTGTTACACGGTCACTTTATGCTCATTCTGATGTCTAGACAGAGTTATGTGTGCTGGCTTGCTACCCAGCTGTTTTATAGCCTATAGGCCTGTTTTAATTCTGTAAAGGATAAGGTGCTGCTAAGTGATGTTAAAAACACAGATACGTTGGCAGATTAGAAAATGTGCCCTTTGAATCCAAATTAAATATGATAAGCTGCCAGTGTGGGAGGAGTGAAGGTGAGACAAAAAAAGTAAGGGCGCTACCTGTGTGATTGTGTGTGCACTTTGTGTATATGGGGAAGTCTCCTTAGTGAGAAACCTGGAGATTTTTCACCCAATAACCTGTGTCTGAAGGCTTGTATCTCAAAGAATCACCAATGAGATTTAATCTGTTGAGGGAATTTAAAGACTTCAAGCCGTTTCAAGAATCTGGCAAGACTGCTTTACCTCTTGCAACAGTTTTGCCACCCTCACTGGCTTTAATATTTCCTATGAGGATTCTGGTACCACTTTACAATACGACTACCCTTATAAAGGGTTTAAGAATAGTTTGTAATTCATTTATTAATTAGGTTGTGAGCACTTTACAAATCATTAATAAGCTTTTATAAGACATGAGATAAACAGGGCAACTGTGACCGGTTGCTTGCCAAATAGTGAGCTCACATTTATCTGTGCTGCTAAGCCTTATATTGGCTACTTAGCTTACTTCGTCTTCTTCATCAGCCAGCATCCTTGGTATCTGTTGCTCACTGAGTTGATTCTCTCTAAGTAGCCAATATAGGGCTTCGTCATCTTGCCAAATAGTGAGCCTGTGTTGATGTATGACAACTATGTTAGAACTGGTTTATAAAAAGTTCTTAATAATTAATAAAGTGTTTACAAACTAATTCATAACCTACTTATAAACCCTTTATGAATCCTTTATAAGGGTAGTCTAATTGTAAAGTGGTAAGCTCTCAAATTTCCAAAGTGTCAGTTGGGAAAAACTTGAAGCTCCAACACAAGTTTAGCTGTCTTTTACAGTTGGAAACTATGGTTTTGTTCATGTTTGTTCATTTTGTGAGTGCAAAACACATACAGATGTCTGAAAAAAAAGAAAAACAGATGTGTAAAAAGACATCCTCCCTGGAAAGGATTGTAAGAGAGTGGATGATAGCTTTTTTTTAAAGTGTTTTTTTGTCTACATTTAACAAGTGAATACTTTAATAAGCAGTCGAGGCTTGTGCAGATGAAGTAATCCCTCCCGCCCTGTCTCCTAGTCCCAGCAGATGAAGCTGCTCCAAGCCACAAGCCTGGATAGTTGGCGTGAAACTGTGCAAATCACGCATGACGTGAAACAGCTGGCCCATGAGCCAGAGATAATTCCAATAAAAAACAAGTATAAGTGTTTTGATACACTTTCACACCCTTTTCCTGAGCGTTAGAGCCGAGCTCTTCCACATTCCCACTTCTCCCTCTCGCTCTTCCAGGTACACGCCCTTTGACTTGTCAGGGGGAAAAGTTTTAAGGAAAAAAAAAAAAAACTAAATCACGGAAGAGATTCTGCTGTCCTACTAGTTTGGCAAGTTCCCTAGGCTCAAAGCAGCGTAGAAAGGCGGAGAAGAGGGCAGAAACTTACATTTGCGCACATTTATACACTTCCCTTGTCCCGCAGACGTTATACGGTGAGTTGAATGCGTCTTACTGGATTCTTTTAAGTTTCTCGTGCGTATACGCGTTGTATTTGTTCATGGATTTTGCCACGTTTCGATAGACTCTTGCTAGAGCCATCCCATGAAACTTGGCCGCGGACTGACTGCAGGTCGGTTTCAATGACTCCTGCACTCAGAAATATTTGGGCTCAGGTTACACCTTTTTAAGTGTAAATTATAAAAGTTGGTGCATGGTTAATCTGCTTTTATTGACGTGTACTTTCGGGTTTAGTGACGTGTTTGATAGCCATATGCGCTCTCTCCCTGTCTTTTCCTCGGAATGATATTTGGTATTTCTATGTGGATCAGTACTCATTTTGTAGATCATTTGCAATGGGAATATATAATAAAGAAGCTAAGGGTGGCAGAGTATTGAGAGTGTAGGCACTGGTTCGCGCGTAAAAGCGCAGTTTTACGCAAAATCAACAGTTTGCCCACAATATGCTTCTTATAAAGAGGCCCACGGGAGTGACAGCTTGGCATTCTGAGTGGAATTTTGTAGAGCTGTGTAGGTTGTGACTTCTTTAACCGCTTTAATTCAACATTGAAAGCAGTGTATTGTGTTAATGATGATGAGTCCTGGCAGTGTTACGCAACGTCCCGCGTCCAATTGTCGCTATTTTCAAACCTGAACTATGGATGAGATACAGCCGCTGGACGTCTGCTCACCGCAATTTACGGCCACAACCTAACTTGTTCCTCTGTTAATATTTGATGCCACACGAGCGGTAGTATTGTCATTACTCTGCGCACATACCGTATCACGTTCGCCTATTTGGAAACACAACACTCAATCTACTTATAGAGTGAAACGGGAAACCCTATGGTTGTAGGCCTGTATATTTAATTATTTGCGCTGTTGCTGTTTTGGCCTTTTAAGACAAATAACAAGGATTAGTTTGTCTCTTGAGTGGGACAGGGTGAAGCTCGATATGTGATGCAATTAATTTGTCAAAATTAGGGCACGTGTTGGGACTCAAAGAAAGGTCCCTATAGGTAAATAATGAATGTGATGAGGGACAGAAATGTCAATCCTAAAGTAGAAAAAAAGCCTTTGCTGTTTCCGTTAAGGATCTTTCTGTGCTCAGGCTGAGGGTGTGTCAAAAATATGGACTGCTCTCCATAATCACAAAAACTGACAATATACATGATATCTAGAGTTTTTGGCTAATGTACTTCTTTTAAAATCCTGGTATTATCACTATTATTTAATGACAGCTGCCTTAACAACCAGATATGATATGCTTCATTCACTATACAAAATGTTTCTGCATTGGGCTCACATGGTGGCCAAATGGTTCAGACCAAAATCATGCATCATTAGGGTCAAAGAGTCACATTTTCGAGGAGGAAATTTGAACTTTGTAATAGTGTCAGAGCTCCTTGTTTCTTAGGGTATAATGACTGTAACAGGCCCCCTCCTTAATTAGCCACATATGCATGTAGTGACTTCTGTGGAGAAATGTCTTGGCTTGAGGGACATGCACTTCAGTCATTGAGAAATGAAGGTGTCGTCTACAAATGACTGCTAATCTGCCACGAGCGACATGGCATCCTTTGGAGACAAGGAGTGTTGTCTCACCACCAGAAACTGTTGTTTGCTCTGCAGTATTTGAATACTGAAGCTGACAGACAAGTATGTTCGCCTCAAACACCCCTCCACCGCTTTGGGGCAAAACTAGCTCTGAGTTGGCCTGTAAATTCCTGTCTAGGTGATCTCCACAGACAGCAATGACTGGAATTCCTGAAAGTCTGTGTCACCTACTGGCATGTTTTACATTTTGAGCAATGTCTATAGATTATACATGTGTCAATGTCTAACTGATGATTGTGTCTCTATATAAATCATGTGAAACTATGAGGGGTTTTCTTCTGGTTATCAAGTCTTTTGTCAAATGCGTTAGTGTGCACCAGTGTGAAGGCTCAAGAAAAAACGAGGGCAGCACAGTGAAAACAAGTATGAGGCAGTGACAAGCAAACGGTAAGAGAGGCAGACACAGCTGGTGAGACAGAAAGAAAGAAAGAAAGAGAGAAAGAAAGAAAGAAAGAAAGAAGGAGAGAGAGAGAGCGGAGCAGAACGGGACTAAGTAATCCCTTAGGTAATCTGAAGCCCAGTCCCCTTGGTAGCTTCAGTAGATCAGGTGACCTATCAAAGATCAGAACTTCCATTGTGCATCACAGCTTGTCTCTCAATCAGACTCCCTCTCACCCTCTTAACTTATCTCACGTCACCGTCCCTCCCTTATGCGGCTCCAGACTCAACACCTGAAACGAAGGCCTCATGGGGACGCACGAGGAAGATCCTTATCTAATTTTGCATTATCGTTGCAATATTTGTTTTAATCAAATCATAGTGGAAACCTTTGCAATCATCATCTATCCATCCATCTATCTATCTATCTATCCATCCATCTATCTATCTATCCATCCATCCATCCATCCATCCAATGTTACTTGTTAGACACTTTTATCCAAAGCGACTTACACACTCAATACTGTGGACAATCCACACAGGACACAACAACATGCTGACTGCAGTGGGGTTTGAATCTGTGACCCCCTGATCCCAACACCAAGGCTCTATCCACTGCGCCACACACCTCCTCTATCTATCTATCTATCTATCTATCTATCTATCTATCTATCTATCTATCTATCTATCTATCTATCTATCTATCTATCTATCTATCTATCTATCTATCTAACTACTGTAACTATCCATCCATCTATCTATCTATCTATCTATCTATATATCTATATATCTATCTATATATCTAACACCAATATCTTGACCTCTTCCTTCTCCCACAGAGAGGAATCATGGAGAATGCTATTAAGGACCTCGTGAAGGTCTTCCTGAAGTCAACCAAGGGAAAGGAGAGTCTAGGAAAGAATCAGTTCCAGAACCTCGTCAAGAACCAGCTCTCCAACGTCCTTTCGGTAAGGAAATCCTCATTGAACCTCTCTGAAATATGACCGACACTTGCATTATGTAACCACCTCATAGAAAACACAAAGCTGTCTTGCATAAACAGAGGCTAGTTTCAATCGGTTCACAATTTTAACCATTGTGACAAGTGGTTGTGTAATATGGGTGGATGGAGTAAATGATCTGATATGATAGAATGACATTCATTAGCATTATAATGTAGATAGGGCCACTCTTAGAGGGTAATTTACTACTTCTGTATGCTGATATCTCCACTGGGAGTCCAGGTAGATAATCATCGTGCTTGATTGTCTCATGATTACGTGTGCCTATCCTCTCCAGGATACAGAAAGCAAGGAGGCGGTCAACAACATGGCCCAGGGATTGGATGCCAACCAAGACGGCAAGGTTGGTTTTGAGGAGTACATGAAGCTGGTCGGCTACCTGGCTGTCTCGCTCAGTGAACAACGTGCAGCTGCCAAAGAGGAGCCTGCTCAAAATAATGCTTCCGAACAAGTGGCACAAAGTACCCCCGCCAAAGTGGAGGAGAAACCAGAGGCAAACGCAGAGGTAAAGGAGGAAGCCAAGCCAGAAGCGAATGAAGAGGCAAAGGTAGAAGCAGTTGCTGACGCAAAGGTAGAAGAAAATCTAGTTGGGAATGCAGAAGCTAAGGTAGAAGTAAAGTCAGAGGAGGAGGCGCATCCTGAGGCAGCGAAGGAGGAGGAGAAACCAGCCGCAGCAGTTGTGGCAGCAGCATTAGAGGAGGCAACACCAACGGTGGATGTGTTTGTGAAAGAAGAGGAGATCAAGGTGGAAACAGAAAAGGTGGAGGAAGCCGTCGAGAAGCTGGCTGAAGCTGTGGAGGAAGAAGTGGAGAAGAAGATTGAGGAGGCGACCTCATAGGGGACAATCCATTCCTTCACAAAAAGAAATCACACTACATTCTTACAATCAACACTACACTAATCACAGCATTATTTCCAAAATATGCCACTAAAGAGTTATTTTGTTCAAATACAGACAACTTTGTAATACAAAATATTGGTAAAAGTTCACAACCCTACCAACCTAGTTGAAGAAACCCCATTCCTCATTTATGATAAATATGTAGGCTACATGACATTGCTTTGTACTATTTTTTACCACTATGTCTATATGTACAGCATGTGCATCCCACTAAAGCACATTTACCTCATTATGATCATATACTATGATAGCATGCAGAAGTACTCTATCATATGCATGCCATATCCCTGTGAAAAGTTTACTGCAAAATAAGATTGACCCTCAGCAGCATACTGACACACAAAGTGCCACTGTAGTCAAGATGTCAAGTTTAAATACAGTCCTTTCCCCACTAATATCTTTAACTTGGACTTTTTCAAAACCTCTCTACACTGCTAACAAAGCCTTGGTCCTTGGTAAAACAAGCTACAGCCATTAGCCGGTTAGCTAATTTTAGCACAAAGACTGGAAACGCGGCAAGCACCTCCAAAGCTAACAAAATGACATGTTATCTCTGATCAGTTTAGAATGTGACTCTTGTACGGTACAACATTTTATTAAGCGAGCTTCCGAAGTGCTGACTTTTTGTTACAAACGGAGCCAAGCTAGATGACTCTTTCCAGCCATAATGCTAGGCTAAGCTGGATGTAGCTTCAGCTTTACCATACAGATTAAAGTGAGGTGGTATCAATATTCTCAGCTAACTCTCGGCATGAACGCTAATAATTTCCCATAACATCAAATAATTATTTTAATTGTTGCATGGAAATCTGTCAATAACACAATTTTTACATTCTCATCTTTTAACTCGCAATGCTATGTAGCTGATTTGGCATGACAATAAACTAATTGTTTTGCTGAAGATTTGCATTAATTCAACCCATCTTTATTGTGTACTCAACCCTCATCTCTCTCTATCTCAGTCTAGTCTACTTTATGGGCTATCTGTCGCTTCCTTTTGTTTTCTGTAACTCCCATAAAAGTTCACCCCAAGTGGATCCTACAGTATATTCCAATAACCCCAAATCAGCTATGGATTACGGAATGTAAGATCAAGTTTGGTCCTAAATAATTGAGTCTCAAGAAAGAAATCCACACCAAAGGACCCTTACGGTCAAATGGGAGCCCCAAATGAGTCCCATGGGAGTAGGTTGTTGACTAGAGCAACCTAATCCACCTGGATTCAAACTGGTAGACAAGAGCAAGATAACAAACACCTACAAGTAAGGAAACCCATAACAGGTGTCACTTTGTGTCAGTTTTTATCTCAAGTACTTGTCAACACAATTACTGCATTTTTATTTGTTATGTCAATGGTATTTGAATGGTAATTGATCCATAAATGTGCCGGTGCATTATCTGGAGGGACCCTGGTAGCACTCGATTGGAGTTACAGAAACCTGGCTCTCTTTGAATATGCTAATAGTTGTTTGCTGTTTTCTGCTTGTATTAGCACAAGTTTAACAGGCATGCCTGTTTGTCGGTCACACCCTCAAACAGATTAAGGACCCTGTTTGACCTGCAACTGGATCCTTGACTCACAGGCATTGGGAAACCACTGGATTAGGCATTTGAAGTGTAGAACACCCTGGGACAGAAATAATGACATGAAAGTAATCCCGGGCTTCAGTGATCCTGCCTATCAGACGAGGTTGTGTCAGAGGGATCATTTTCCGAGGTGCTTTTTTAAAACCAAATAATAATACTGAGCCATCAATATAGATCTATGTGGTGTGCTCTTTTACAACAGCCTATACATAAGATGTTGCATGACATTGTATTGCAATTATTGTTTCCAAATATTTAAGTTCAACATGGCCTCTTTATATTTAACTTTTTAACCTTACTCTTTCTTGTTTGGACCACTATGGAGATCACTTGAAAGCATACTTCTTTGTAACCTTATATGCAATTTGTTAATTACAATCTAACGATTTGTAAATTGTCTAATCATAAATAATGCAGCCATGAGAAAAAGGCTTGTGTTGCAGGTCCACTATGATATGTCTACCTGGCCTGCTGCGTAGTGCTCAAGGCACACACATTTTGGGTACACTACCAAATGTGCACCTTTTGCACTGTAACTGCACCTGGCACTTCAAACTGCTCAGCAGCTAAATGGGCAAGACAAATAAACCTGAGTCATGTGGTCACCCTGCCTCACTGCGACACTCCCATTGTAAATACTCTCTCATTCACACTCTGCTCAGCCTTTATGCTCGTAATATGCTGTGTTTCCTGCATGATCTTTTACTAACAAACTTAATGGAAATGTTTTGGCTATTGAGGCGTCATTATTCATTGTTTTATTACAATCTATATTTGTTTATATCAAAACATTTGTAATCATGGTACTTTCTGTGAAGAACAGAAACATATCACTCTCTTGCACCATCTACGGCTAGATTACAGCATACTGGCAAGCTTCAAACCTTTTTTGCTATTCCCCCATAGGCCAAGCTTGTTTTTGCATTTTTATGTTGCAATAGATACTTAGGTTTAGTGTAAACAGGCCTAATCATCTGGAACTTATTCTATTGTAGCTAATGCTTTCTTTTAACCATTTGGGAACAGCAGATTAGCGGAGTGCACTGTGAGTTTTCTTTCAAAGATTCTGAACTGTCTGAACTGGATGTTTTTTCTCCGTCCCATAGTGTGAACCCCACCCAACTTTAACTCCATGTAGATTTAAAACATGCTGAAACCAAACACAGCAGATTTGCAGCAGGGAGTGTTTGCCGCCAGATTATTCATTGACGCACAATAGCTCTCATTCATTCTTTGACACAGTAGATGGGCATACAAGCCTTAAGAATTCTCCCAGCAGATATAATAAGTGTACATACAAGTAAACGGATGTGCTTTGGGTCAAATATGATTGTGATTATGGGACCATTCCCAGGATGTGCAGGGTTTCATCATTGTGTGTTGATGTACTCTTATTTCTTGCTAGAGGGTGTATGTGTTTAGCAGTTGGACTAATTTAAATCCACTGACATGTCCAGTAAACTCCAATAATGCTAGTATGCTATGCTGTATCATTTTTGCTAATTCTATGTAACATGTTTAATGGCTAATATTGAATAAAACTGTGACAATAATAATTAATTTGCGTGACCTTGTTTACTTGCAAGAAAGCAGTCATTGTGTGCGTGCGTACGTGCGTGCGTGCGTGCGTGCGTGTGTGTGTGTGTGTGTGTGTGTGTGTGTGTGTGTGTGTGTGTGTGTGTGTGTGTGTGTGTGTGTGTGTGATGGAAAGCACCTGCAAAGGGAGAGAGATGGAGGGAGGATGGAGAAACAGAAGTAGAGAGTATGTAAGAGGTTGAAGGAGTTTGGAGGGGGAGGAGGGGGAGGAGGGAGAGGTGCAGGTGATATTTAAGCCACTGGCAGACTCTCTCCACATCCATCTCTGCCTTGGCTCAGTCCCCTGCACCTCTTCAAAGACAAAGAAGGCCCTCCATCAGCACTCAGGTAAGACAGGCAGCTTGAATGGGTTTCTCCATTGTACTTTCTCCTATGTATCTAATGAAGGTTTACTCGTATAGTCAATGATACACATTGTATCAGCTTTGGAACAGTAAATATCTGTAGAATCAGAAAACCTCTGAGCATAACGGCACTAGGCGCTAAAATAGGACTGCGGGAGTAATTTCACTTTTTTATCTTAAGTTATTGTTTGCTTTCTTTTGATGCTGTGCAAACTTTGAGAAGTGCACAATAGGGAATTCCTACATCAAAAAAGTTAAACCAATAGGGACTTCTTACCAAGCAGTGTGAAATTACTGTGCACTGGTATTTATACAAAATAATATGTCAATGCCCTATTTTAACAATTTGCTTTTTTAGTGTCATTCGACATTGATTATGCCATACCATTAACCATGGCGTTACCATATGCATCTTCAGTACATGCCTTACACAATATTGTGTTACATTTTGGTCTCCATGGTTTTCTTTTGTATTGTGTCAGTCAGTGAGACGGGTGAGACCTATACATTTTCCAGTAAGCCAGCTTTGGTGTCCACTCGCCTCCTCTTTTATCTCCGCCGCCCACAACTCTGAACTCTGCGTCACAATGTTCTGCAAAACGATAAGAGGCAATAACCGGAGACTGACAATAGCATCCCTGTCTACTAATGCAATAGCTCATAGTTAATAAATCATGCTCAGGGATGGATTGACATATTGATTCTGTGTGGTAATATTAACCTTAAAATAACAGCCTATATTCTAATTTCTAGATTCCCCAGCTTTTTAACTTGACTAGCAAGTTGAATGTGACTGAGCGAGGGTGAAAGTAATTGAGTTCCATCAGCTGTAGCCACATATTAGATCACAGGCCTGCACCTCAGGGTGCTCGGTTTCTGAATGTGAGCACCAGACTAGTTTTGTGTTTCTCTCCTGGTTTCCATCTTGAATGATGAGGCTGTTACAGGATCAACAGGCATGAAAACACTTTTCACCGATACCACAGGTTTAATTGTTACATGCATTACCCATTCATTCACAAGAGCAATAACTCAAAAAGTAAACTTTCAAAACAGCTGAAATGTTCTTGAAACTATGTTTTAGGTGTCACAAAGCATTTTTTGTAAATACGTTGACATAGAAAAGTCTTAACCCTCTAACTCTGCATCATTGACAGTGACTAATCTGTGTCTGTCTGTGCAGTCTCTCCACAAATCCAGCTCAAGAAGCTCCAAGATGCCGGACACAATGTGTGTAAGATTGTTTCGAAACGTTTTTCCAACGCTATCCTCCATCTTTCCATCCAAACCTCTGCAATGTAAAACCCAGTAAGGTCACGCAAACACAGTGACCACACTACTTAAATTAGGGTGAGTAATAGCCTCTGCTTACACACAGAGCGTTATTCGACCCATTGTGTAGAAATGGGAAAACCACCTTCCTTCCTTCCATCCATCCATCCATCTACCCGTCCAACTATCACTTTGACTCAGAGGTGGCTTCACCCTTGACTGCCATGTGACCGCACATGCAGTTTGGGCTGGAGCGGGCATTTTGTAGCAGATTCTGACCTTTGGCCCTGATATCTTTGCAGTATGTCCAAGGAGCCCAGTTCCAACCTGGAGAGTGCCATGCAGATGCTCATAAAGACCTTCCACAAGTACTCCGGGAAGGAGGGCGACAAGTTCACGCTGAGCAGGGGTGAACTGAAGGAGCTGCTACTAGAGGAGCTGGGGACTTACTTAGGGGTAAGGAAGTGTGTGAAGTAGAAAATACGTGCTTGTACACTACACATGAATGAAGTTTGCAAATGGGACACACGGGTGAAGGTATGCACTCGCATACTGGGACATGCAAGCTCAGACAAGCTTGTTCATTGATGTATACCCACCCACCCACACACACACACACACACACACACACACACACACACACACACACACACACACACACACACACACACACACACACACACACACACACACACACATTCTTAACTCTCTGGTCCTCCCTCTGACAGGGCTCCTCCAAAGATAATGAAGCAGTTGAGAAGGTGATGAACGACTTGGACGCCAACAACGACGGGGAGGTGGACTTCACCGAGTTCATCATCCTGATGGGCGCCCTCACTGTCGCCTGCAACGACTTCTTCCTAGATTGCAAAACAGATGAGACACCAAAGGAAGGCGAGTCGGCGGAGAAGAAAAATTGAATCAGTGCAAGAGAGGAGAGGGGGGAAAGTAGGAGGGAGAGGAAGGGGTAAAGAAGGAGGAGGAGGAGGGGAAATAACTGTTGCAATGGATTTTTGTCTTATGCAATTTGTAAACACTACAACTACATATGACGGAAGCGGTCCAGCAGATAGAATGTGGGTCCACAGTATACAGGATATTCAGCAGGGGTAGTGTTTTCTCCTATTTTTCATACCACAACATATCCGGAGCTAGTTGAACCCAAAGTAGTGAGTGACTTTACATACAGAACAGGGTATATTTAAACTCAAATGTAGCAGTTTTAACAGTTTGTTGTATGTTCTGAGCAAGGCACTGAAAGAAAGGAAGCTAGAACACTTCTTGCACATGAATAATTTGTGAACATATATGAAGTAACAGATTATCCTATTATTGTATGTACTCCGCGTTGAACAATAGAATATGATTTATCTCGTTTCTTGTGCATATTTTGTAATCCTTTTTGGTAATAACCAGTGCATTCTTCAAAAATATTAAACATGGCATTTAACCAACTATACGTTGTGTTCTTTTTGATTCCCACATACTTCCTCTCACACTATATCCCTCATGCTGTACAAGTATTCACTGACATGTCGGCCATGAATTGCTGCACCTGGAAATCACATTGAATGAGGAAGAGAGGAACAATGCCAGAATAGTGTGTGTTTGTGTGTGTGTGTGTGTGTGTGTGTGTGTGTTTGTGTGTGTGTGTGCGTGCGTGCGTGCGTGTGTGTGTGTGTGTGTGTGTGTGTGTGTGTGTGTGTGTGTGTGTGTGTGTGTGTATTGGGGATTCCCACCGAGTAAACTGCTCCAGCTCACACATCCTGCCAACAATATCCTGCAAGTCTTGTTCCACTAGATATAAGCTGACCCAGATGTTTGACTTGGAACGGCATGGAAAACTTCTTCAAAAGAGAGAGACAGAGGGAGGAGAGGAAGAGGGGGAGAAAAAGAAAGAAAGAGGATGTGAAGGAAGATAAAGAGTGTTTGTGTGCATGTGTGTGTGTGTCTGTGTGTATTTTTGAATGAAGCAAGGACTGCATAAGCGGGGAGTGAATCCAATTTATGGAGTACATTAGTCAAGTATGTAACTTGGAAAGCCGTGGTATAATCACAGAGGAATGTTCAAGTTGCTGTGACTGTTAGCACACTGACTGTCCCACACACACATGTGCACGCACGCACGCACACACACACACACACACACACACACACACACACACACACACACACACACACACACAGATCAGTAAATCACCACGTCCTCTTCCACCTCATTGGCTTATACAGCTGCTTGTTTGTTTTAAAGAATAAATGCTGAGCAGCTGAATCACAGATCCTCTCCTGGAGGGATACATTCACTTCTGGTAGTACTTGTGCTCAAACAATGATGAGTCTCTTACCTACAGCAAGAATAATAAACTGATTCCAGGTCAGCCATCGTCTATGGGCGTGGTTCACCCTATCTGCTTTCATTCCTCAATCCACTTTGTTTTTTAAAGACGTCCTCTGATTGGTCGTTTTGAATAAGTGCTTGGCCTGCAGATAGGTAAACATCTTTTTCTAAAACAGGGTTAACCCTGTTGTAGCCTGAAGGGAGAAAAACAACCTCTTACGACTGTTACAGTAACATTCTAGGTTACCTGTTCTCATACCTTAGGAGCAATAAAACAGCTGTTTTCATGTTGGACAAAAAGACAATATGATACAAATACAGAAAAGGAGAGAGAAGATTGAAACATTAAAAAGGGAAATGATTTAATATGTAAAGAGGAACAACTTCAAAGTCTGTCAAATAGAAATGGCGTCAAGTATACAGTAATTCAGTACACATACACTGGTGGAGGAAATATTCAGATCCTCCACACAACAAACAAACACAACAATGGAAAAAAAAGTAGAGAATTATTTGCAGCAAAATGTCCCCCCCCCCTAAATATTATAATAGGATAATATTAGATGTTAACACAGGTGTATCCAAGCATAAGTTGCATTTTTTATTTGGTTGCTGGTCGGTTCCCCTTCAGAGGGTCACGAGATAAAGCTGCTATGAGATGATTAATGTGATAGTAAAGATGGAAATAAATAGTATTCTACCCATTGCAAACTGATTTTTTGACTTTTTTAAGAGGGTTAGGGTTAGGTTTAAGAAGTTTTTCTACGTTGAAGCGCCAAAAAAAAGTTTGGGAACAACTGGTTCAGTTTTTAATGATGTATTGTGTTTTATAAGCTTATCAGGCATTTTAATGGTAAATCTTTATCTGAAAAAGTAACAATTGACTACAGTTCTCCAATGAATGTGGTACAAAGTAAAACATTGACCTCTGAAAATGGAATGTAAGCGGGTTGCATCAAATGTAAATACCCAGGTAAAGTACAAAACAGAAAAAGAGTACTTACATGTCATCGCATTGTATAGGTGGATTACAAGTTTTGACTATTTGGCCTCAAATTTAAAAGTCTATATCCTTCCACATGCAACAAGTGTTATTTTACACTATGAATGTATTTTATATTATAATTTGTGCTTATTAAATGCAAGGAATTTCCAGTGGAATTTGGTTTGTAGTAGAGGAGGAGACTGAATTCCGGGTGTGTGACTGAGGTGTATCAGCTGTGAGAGACAGGCCTTCACCAGGAGTTGTGATGTGAGGCAGTTAAATCATTCACACAAGACCTTTTCAACCACACTTTGAAAAACAATGGCTGAAGGACATCCTGCAAACAGTATCTAAAAACACGCCTGACCTTACGATGCGAGCCGGTTTAACCTAAAACACACAGGTCTCTCCTGATGGATCACATATGGCAGTTGCTGCCTCTGTGATGAGCAACACAAAGCCAGGCCATGTCACCGAGCCCGAAGCATCTGATAAGGAAGGCAGGGACACTTCGGTTACAAACAAAGCAGGTCAAGCGACACCCAGATGTCAGGCCACCACGTCCATCAGACAGCCATTACATCAAGATTTCATGAAAGAGGGGTCAGCGGTTGCTAGAGAGTAGAGTGGCATGCGTGTGAGAACAAAATGAAATTATTCATTCAAGTATACAGTAGCGGAGATGGCTCCAGGTCTATATCCTGTGATGATTCATTCATTTCCAGGTGTAGCTCTCTGTCCTGGGTAGAATTTGAGAAGGCATGCTTTCCTCAGGTTCATGAAATCCATCTTGATAGAAGACCGCAGGGAGACCTTATGGCTGCAGCTCACTGCCAGAGAGCAGTCAGGAGACATATGAATTACAAGGAGCTGTCTCTCCTGATTCATATAGAGCATGCTTTGATAACCCCATTACATTTCAACTACATAACGCATAACGCCACATTGTTAAAGAGTTGAAAAGTGCCTTGTCAATCTTTTCAAATGTTCCAATAATTTAGGGAAGGGAAAGACAAAAATAAACCGAACCTTTAATTCCATCCACCCCATTATTCCTCTAAGAGCACATCAGAATATCATGACCCCGGGTTGGGAACCACTCTACTAAAACATTGAAAAGTAAAGTAGGCCTGCTACAACAGCTGCTTAAACATAGGTGTATTGGTGCTTACAATCTAATAATATCACACAATAATCCATCAGCCACAGAAAACTATTTATATGCGGAACAATTAGTTTTACTTGAATAGGTTCAGTATTTGCAGGTACATTTACATGGTCGTATCATTATTTTTGGCTTAAGTGAACATACTCAAACTACTTAAAACTGATTTTTTTGTTTTTAGCTAAGCAGATAAAGGTGACTGCTGAGTCAACTTCAACCAGTCTGAAAAGTTACCTCTGGTTTTAGAGTCATGACATCTATTTCTTGACTATGGGTCAAGAGGAATCAAACAGTCCCCTGAGTGTCCTCACTGAGAGTCAAGGTGACAGACGGATATCGTCCTCAAATGACACCAGCGGTGAGGTAAAGCACAGGGGCGAACGATACGTGAGAAAATAAGAGAAGGACAGAGGGTTGGTGTCAATTGCTCTTTTTTCCCTTCACTTTAGGCGTCCTTTACACAATGATACTACTCTTACTCTTTATCCGTTTGCAATGGTGCATTTACACGCCACAAGCTGCACCTTGCAGGTATACGCAAGACGTTTGTCCTCAACATGATCCTCGGCTAAACCTAATCTCCCCTCTAGACCTTTGCTTCTAATCTCTTCAATCCAATCTGACATAATAATCTCTCCCCTTTTAGTGAAATGGAGCACTAAACTTCCAGACAAATTACCAAACCACTGAAACGACAATCAAGCTATTGCTTTTCAAAGATTCCTTATGCTCACAAGTGTCCTCATTCAGTCATTCCAGCGCCTGTGAAGAGGCCGGATCCTCAGGGGCGATGAGGCAGTTTGATGCTTTGATCACTCCATGCAGAGCACACATCACTGACACAAACACCCTCACATTTTGCCATCCATGTTGTTGATTTATTAGGATCAGAGAGAGGCTCACAGGGGACCTCCAGCATCAAGAATCAGGACATTTTATTGTAATGGGTTTTACAATGTTTGAACAAGTCTTCATTCAACATGGAACAGTGACAAATATAAATCAGGTGTGTCTCCCTGTAGAACTTCTAATTCAGTTCTGCCAAAAAAGACACACTGACCTTAAATCTTTAAGAGGACATAAACATGGCAGACATCCAATAGTACAACAAGAGACCACACTGAACCTAAATTACATCAGTTATCTCAATGATTTCCAGCATATCTCTAAATTAAGAGTACACATACCGAGTCAAATGTTTGAGTTACATTTAGAATACACACATTAACGTAATATAATATAGAAACCACTTCTCAATTTGGTGTTCTTCCTCTTAGCACCAGGGAAACATTAAACCCAAGGAAGAACAATATGACTTTTTTTAGAAACAATAGTCTGAATGAAACATATTAAATAGGCTTTTTTGGATACTATAAGCTTTTTGTGCTTACCAAAATGCAATATGTGACATGTATTTATGCTATTACATCCATAACTGCTCTCCATTTGCAGCCATAAACACATCTGATTAAAGGCATTCGTTTCACAGCGTTTTCTTGCCACAAATCACAATAAATTGCAGATTTGTTTTACAGATAATCCCCAGAATGAACAGGCTTGTTTAGTTTCAAATTAAACACAACAAGCAGTCTCAGATCTCAGCATGAAAAGCCCTAACTATTTAGAAGCCATGGTCCTTTAGCACATTTCATCAGGGTGAATCACTCACTCTTCACAGTGCAGATAACACAGTGGAAACAACTCCCTCATTCACAGCAAAACAAAGGAAATCGTCAAGGGGCAGTAGTTACTGACAGTATTAGAGCATCAATTAGAAATATGCTGCGAGCACAAATATTAAAATAGCTGGTGTTGTTCATATCTTAAGTGGAATGATACGCTCTGTCTATGGATTTCACCAAAAATCAATTTTAAGAAAAGAAGATAAGTCTTTGTGTTGGCATGTTGGTGCAGTGTACCAGCACATCCACCAGAGGGAGAAAGAGAGCCACAAACAGCGACTATCACTCCATATAAACAGTCGATTGCATGGTAAAAAGAAATCCACTAAGCAGCAATTACAAAAATATCACGTGTAGTGTCTAATAGAGTCACATTGGATAATTAAAACATAACATGTGTGGATGAGTTTTGTTCCCAATCTAACTCCAGGTAACATTTCATCATTAAAAGTGCCTTGTGTTCCCTTGTTAACATGCAAAGCAGCAGCCAGGAAACTTTGCATCAGCAGCACATCCAAGTAAAAACAAACACAGAAGAAGGCACCAAGCGACGCACACATTTTTTCAGATCATCAAATAATAATTCAAAATATAGACTTGCAAATTGAGATGGAGCAGTAGAAGCACATATTGATCAAACGGATGAGGGCTCTGACTGGCTTTCTGAAACATTTTGTCCAAGCAGGCCTCGAGGTGGGATTGCTTTGTATACCTAAGCAGGGCCAGGGTGGAGTCAGTGGATGCGAGGCACGGGGTGCAGCAGGGTCATGTGCTCTGCGCCGTTGAAAGGCAGGCGCTGAGAGCAGTAGTGGTGCACCACCTCTGGGATGCTGGGGAACACACAGCTGCTCTGGTCCAGGGTGTAGCCGCTTTCTTTGGTCTGAGCAACCATGATGTGGACGCAGCCTTGGCTTGTCCTGAGTCACACACAGGGGAGGAAAGGGGATACGTTAATTAACCAATTTGACACATAAATCCATCTGAGATAAAAGCCTGATATGAAGAAATATATATCCTCCTGGGACCCAGCCCATTGAAAATGTCCTCTGTAGTGGACATTTTGTTAACACGCATCTCCTTTGACTCTTTTGAGCTACTCTATGAATCCCTGATGTACTGTACAGAGGACATCCTGGTCTTTCCAGTGATATGTCATTGGTTAAAATTGTATGTTGGGAAGTTCCTCTTTCTTTTCATCCAAAATGGCNAACTGGAGATGGAGTGAAATCGATAATTTATACAAAACTGGCCTATTTTTATTTTTACTCTTTTTAAAGTTATTTAGGCTGCAGATATGTTTTATTTCATTTCAAAGTGGCTACTTTTATTGATTAATTTTTCCACAAATAAGGGGGAAAGCGACTCAAATTAAGACCTGCACGCCGTTTTCTGAGGAGAGTTAGACCAGTTATTCCTTATGTTATAACAGGTAAAAAGCAATTAAAATGTCAACAATTTTTCTTTGTATTGTTTTTATTATTTCATTTAAATGCCATCAACTTCATAGTTCTTTTACAGTACGTGACAAAAGAAATTTGGAATGAAAAAAGAATAAAAACGAAAAATAACAGATACATACTGAAATAGGCCTTTTGAATAAATCCAATTCCCTCTGTTAGTATATTAGTATAACTATATAATAAAAACGTTATACACTGTGCTTATCTTCATTTAAGGCGTATTATAGAGAATAGGTTTTGCGGCTCCAGATACATTTTATTTCGTGGGCGAGGGGCCAAAATGGCTCTTTTGATAGTAAAGGTTGCTGACCCCTGCATTAAAGTAATGAGATGGAGCGGCCTATCTGATGACAAATCGAAACCTAAGGTCGATGCGGACCAGACAGACTCAATGCAAAGATATACTCTGAGGGAGTCCATCATTCCAGAATAAACACTACACAAGTCAACACCAACACCACACGAAGAAACAACACCAAAGAGAGGTCTGGTGCACTCTGAGAAGTGTACTTTATGTCCATTCTACATTCTAAGTGTAAACATTTCTACTCCGGTCATCAGTACTGTGGGATTGTAACACTTTGGTATTTGCTGTGCAGTCAGTGATCTAATTAAAGTTTGCATACAGAGTTCTGAAGTTGAAATGTATTAAAGAAAATGTAATTTCAAGTCCAACATTGTCATTAAATTGATGATCGGTATAATATTTACATGTGTCACTTGATATGATTAAACACACGATTCTCAGAATCGAGATCATTTTCAAAATCGTACAAGTTATGCTCTGTGTTGTCAAATCTTAAAAAGATTCAGAGTGGCTCAGCCATTTATTTGTTGTTATTGTTTTCCATGTACGTCTGCAGGGAGTTAACTCCCTGCGGACGTACCTGTTCATTCCTTTGCTCTTTCATGCCGGTCAAGCGAGTCAAGAAATGTCTTTACATCCGACATCAGCTCACCTCCTGGGATTCTCTTGTTCCTGGAGCGCTGTTTCTGCCAGCCTGAAGCCTGCGGAGTATACTCCAAGTCTGGTTCTCCTGCTGGAATCTCCATGTTGACACCATACTCCAGTAGACACTGTGCCGCATCTTGTGGGTTGTCAAACACCCTGATTTTTCAGTTTTTTTCGAATAGTTTCAGTTTAGCAGGGAACAGAATGCGTTATTTGATTTCTTTCCTGGAGCTGCTTCCTTGCTTGTCTGTATTTTGCGCGCTCCTTGAACACTTGGGTGGTGAAGTCCTCATCAAAGGATATCCTGCAATCATTCACCCTAATGTCCGTCTTTGCCCAGGCGGCTTGCAGCACCATTTGCCTCTGTCCTTTTTTTTTCTGTCACAGGTATGTTGACACCAATCTAGTTCAGAAATCAAACAGCAGGCTTTTTAAGGAATAAAATAGGAGAAACCTTTTTCTTTGAACTACTGCATGGTCTGCGAATCCTGCCATCACAGTTTGTGTCTGAAATGTTCCATTTGTCTCACCTTTGTGCACATGCAAATTAAGTTCATGCATAAATCAATCTGAAGAGCCTTTTACTTTCTTGTGACGTAGGTGAAAAAAAGTACTCTCATTAAACTGAACAAGACAGCATGGCGCATTCTCAGAAACACTGACATCCAACGCCATCTGCCTGCCAATTGAATGCATCAAAGTGTGATAAATATTGATAGATGTAGTCAACCTGCTGAGTGTCTGAGGATGTCCGTGGGGATGAAAAGGCTGATAACGAGTCTGAGATGAGCAGCGCGTAGCGGGAGTCTGATGATTGCTCCACGCTGATGTGCTGTGTTTGATGCTCATGGAAGCACGGCATTCGTTTGTGTCGGCTGCCCTTAAAGGCAATGTGAGCGTTCATTCCCATTGGATAACGGAGAATTGTACACCCGGAAGTAAGTATTCCCCTTACTGACGATTGATTTGACAGTGATATCCATACTTGTCAACCCTCCCGATTTTCGCGGGAGACTCCCGATTTCATTGCCCTCTCCCGGTTTCCTCCCAGTGTCATATTTCTCCCGCATTTCTCCCGATTTCTGACAAAATCAGATTTACTCAGGACTGTTTCCACTCTGACTTTAATACAGCTACACCATTGTTTGGTTTCCATGGTAACACGTCTCTTTAGTAGCGCGCAACTCAAAGTCTGAGAGGGTGAGGCAGATAGTCACAGAAAACAGAATAAGAATCGACTACTGCTCACTCCTTTCCTGTAAAATACAGGTCCAGCCCACACATATGCTCCATAAAGGATGATGCTACAGGCCGCAAGGCATTGCACTTAGAATTACAATAAGCATGTTAATGTTAATCTGACAGCTCCGGCAATCCCCCCCCCCCATTTTGCATTTTGAAATGCTCCCGATTTTTGAGGTCTCAAGGTTGGCAAGTATGGCGTCCCGGCTGTTCCCCAGAGTTTGCCGCTTGGCTCTGACTGGCTGGAAAGCGGGCCCTAAGCGCATAACTGTTACCATCTCACTGTAAGTCACCAATGTATTGTTTGTAGATCCCTTTATTAAATGTATCCTCGCCATCCATAGTCTCTAAATAACTTATTTAACGTATATATCCTCCTGGGACCCAGCCCATTGAAAATGTCCACTGTAGTGGACATTTTGTTAACATGCATCTCCTTTGACTCTTTTGAGCTACTCTATCAATCCCTGATGTACTGTACAGAAGACATCCTGGTCTTTCCAGTGATATGTCATTGGTTAAAATTGCATGCTGGGAAGTTCCTCTTTCTTTTCATCCAAAATGGCTGGCATACCAAAAACAAAATGTTATAGAAGCAGGAGGAGAAGTCAAATATTGTTGAATAATTGTAATTTTTACCATGAAAATCATATATATTCTTCTTTATTAACATGTGAGGAACTATATAATTAGTTCTCAAAGCAATTAAATAATTCAAGTTTTGAAATAACAGCTCTTTTATAAATGTCCATTCTAGTGGACGTCAGGACCATCTTCATGGACTTAATGACTCAATATTGTTGCAGGAGACGGAACTGAAGCAGACATTTTCTGTACCAGATAGTTAAGGGAGATTCAGATTTTGAGCTCTCAGATGATGAGAGAGATGAGGATTTCACACCTGGGATAGAAGAGGGTCAAGAGGAAGGGGGGGAAAGATGCAGGAGGCTCCATGAGCGCACAGATACAGAGAGAGAGACAGATAGGGACGAGCTGGAAATACATGGCCCCCTGTGGGCCAAGAGTAGCACGTATGTCTTATTGTTGTTTTTATTTTAAGTGGAGCCATGAAAAATGAGAGTTGCCTCAGGAATGCAAGCTGTGTTTCTATGAGCATGGTCAAATGGAGACCACATCCATACAACTAGTCAAGATGACCCTACAGCCCGTGCCGACTGGATTCAATGAGGTACTTTTCCCACTACATTGACTACAAAGTCTTTGAAGATCTGGAAGGATTCACCAAAAACCAAACTAGTTTTTTAGTGACCAAATAAACAGCAATGTTCAGATCAATTACTTATTCATGTTTTAAATAAAGGTGAATGTATTATTGTATTAATATCACTCTATAACCATAATACGTTACATAGTCTATCTGTTAATTTTGGTTGTCTTTTCAAACTAATTGGTCCCGACGTCCTCTACAGTGGACATACTGTAACATTTAAAAATTTAATTTAAAAAGTCTAAATTGCAAGATGTTTTTTTAACCCTAAATAGGTAGGAAATCACAAAAAAAAGGAAATTGGAAGACACATTTTTTCCTCGGGTCCCACTAATCGGCCTAAAAGACGTATCATGGAAACAGAACTTCAGAATAAACATAGAAACTGTTGTACAGGGATATCATTTTAAGTTTGATCAAATTCATATTATTTCCTTAAACAGCGGGGCACTGTAGCTTTTCAGCAAACATTACTCAAGTGGAAGTAAACTGTACCTTTGTTAGGGACTATTTGTAGCTGCGGAATGATACACATTGTGCACTAATGAGCATTAATTAGTGGGCAGTGTATGTTGGATTTACTCTATATAAACTTCATATTTATTGTATTAAAAATATATGTTAGCCAATGCAACAGTGTAGCCTATTAATGGGTCAAATGTATTGTTGGCTATCGGCAGTTGTTGAGAATAAGAAGAATAAGGAAAATAAACAACCTTATCTTGTTAAGGTAAAAAAGCTGATTATGACAAATTAAACCACTGTGCACATCTGGATTTACAACTGGTCCAAATACAGTGTATTCCTCTCATTATTTACATTACGTGTACCATCTGAACTACTTCAGCTCTTCAGATGTACTTTCAGGCTGCACTCACTTGAGGGCGATGGAGTACTTGCTGTTGTCCGACTCGCTGTTCCTGACCAGGAAGCTGGCCTCTTTACAGGACTGCAGCTGAGACTCCACCTCCTGACGAGTCACACAGCCATGGTACCACCTGAGACAGAAGTTGGGAGGGGGGTGGGGGTTACATTTCATCTGCTAGTGATCAAGTCTAGAACCTCATATCATATAAACTCCTTGGAAATAATACTAGTGTAAGGAACTCGGAATTTTTTTTTTAAAGGTTGTTCATTGCCTGAAAAGAAACATCAGCAGACACATTCAGACACGTATATCATTCAGATTCCTGAGTTTTACAGTATTGAATATACTGATTTTATGTGTGAAATACCAACATTCAGTTATCCTCACCTCTGTTTCTCCAGGGGCAGGGAGGGGTCGATGCAGCAGGCCTCAGTTTCAGTGTTGCTGTTAGGGATGGAGGAGCGTGGCAGGGTGGGAGGGGAGGACCGGAGGATCTTCTGCGTCCAGCTTTTCTGCCTCAGATGATGCTGCTGATGCTGCGGTGGCGGCTGGTGCTGCTGATGCTGTAGTGGGGGCTGGGCGGGCGGATGTTGCGGCTGCCTGGTGAGGGTGGGGTGAGGCGTCTCATCTCTGTTTTGCCGCTCAGGGCTGTCAAACTGTGCTGGAGGAAGGAGAGAGACGATAGAAGATGTGACTTCATGTAAAGAAACGTCTTGGTTTGAACTGGGTGCTGGAGCCAGCAGTAAATATAGAATATGAACCCAGCAGTTTGATGATTCATGCAAGATGTTACTCAGTATGCTGCGGGTCTATGCAGAATATGCAATATTAATGTTAAAGTACTTAGATCCTTTACATAATAACTATAAGTGTTTGATAAATGAAGGGAACAAAATAGGACTTAAGTGTGATACTTGGATAAATGCACTTAGTTACATTCCACCACTGGATATGAAGATAAGAATAAGAAATGATTAAAACATCAAAGTGTACAGCAATGTTCTGATTTCAGATGACATTTTCTCTCTTTCACATTCCCTGAATTGGTGACAATGCTCAGAGATAATTGTATCTGCTATCAATTTGGATGTGGTGGAACCAACGTCTGACGTACCCGACAGAGTTTTCACAATCTGCTCCTTCTTCCTCTCCCAGGGCAGCTCGTACTCAGCGGAGGGGCGAGGGTCAATCTCGGGCCGTGTGAGGGTCGTCTTGTCCCCGTCCCCTCCCCCCTCGTACGGGACGTCATATATCTGTGAGGGCACCGGCTGACCCTCCTCAACCGCTCCCTCGCTTGTCTCCATAATCACACACACCTTCAGGAGGTCCTTGGACCCCCGACGTCTAATCTCTATCAGGTAAAAAACAAGGGAGAGAAGATTGTAATCTGGTGAGGGGACACTGAAAAACACTAGACCAAAAGACAGAATGGACTGGGAGGGTGTCGAAATATAATGAGGCGTCAATAAACATAACAGTACCACCTCTAATACCTCCTCTGTCCATTACAAATGCTCAGTAGCTTTATCAGTTAATGCCATTACTAAGGAAAATGTTTCCAGGTTATGACATCTGCTTGTGTGAATTCTTTTTATATTGCTGTTATACATTATAAATAGATTTTGCTCCAAAAGATAAGTAGTTATCAGTCTAGTTACTGAGAGGGATTTTTCATGTACTGGCTTAATGGCAGGAAATGCTGATTTCAGCCTCTTTAATATTCAGATGTCCTGATTTTCTCTGTTTTAGATCATATTAAACTGAATATATTCACATTTTGGACTGACAAGACATGACATGAAAATCACATCGCCTAAGACTTTGAGAAACTGGGATGGAAATGTTTTCTTGACATCTTGTAAAAAAAGTCAAAAAGTTTCAATAACGCTAAACTATGTATGAACTATTAATAAAGCCATTAGTTAGGACTTTTAAAGCCTTTATTTAAAGTTTAAGTTATTTTAGTTTGTTCTATGTTTTGTTATAAGAAGAAAATAAAAAATGGTATTGATCTCTGAATCATGGTAAACTACAGTATGAACAAATGTAAGACTTTGATTTGTGTAACAGCTGTCATCTGCTACGAAAGAGTTAATAATAACGCTGCCCTCTCATAACCTCGCTTTTCAAGTCACAGTGACATCAGAGTCTTGCTTACTTCCTCAGTATGATTTAAGCCTCGTAGATTGACTCAGTCCCATCATCACATCCTCTGTAGACTACAGGAGGCCTGGAAGTAGCACAGGCTCTGATTGAAGTCAAATCTACTAGAGCACACTGCAATAAAACATGTTCACGTTCACAGCTGGCTATTGTAAAACCCTTTTGGTTAAAACAATGGAGTGATGGAAGGAAAAGTCAGGAGAGCATGTGATTGGATGACGGAACATCAGTCTTCCTAGATGCTGGGAAGTTTTGATAAATGGCCAGACAGGTCCATATAGGGGGTTACACAGAGAGGAGGCAGGGGGCACTCAGGGCCAACTTCCTTTTTAGAGAATAGAACCAGGAAACAGAGACAGGAAAGAGGAAGCAGGGGCAGGAAACTGCACCCATTGTCCGATCACATGCACAGTTACTATGGCAACCCCATGGGGTGCAAAGAGCACTGTGGGAGCGAGTTCATGTTCTCAATGTTGGCCTGCAGAGACTGGAAATGGGATTCATTCACACAGGGGCTAATGCAGAGACTGAATGAAACAACACAGCTACAGTAACAGCTCTGATGAATTACCTGTAATCATCTGCTGGGCATCGTAAGGCTCCATGTAACCATCGTTCTCCCCGACCCTCTCGACTTCCCTCGACTCTCTTTTCTTCTGAGCATCAAAGGGATCTGCGTAATCCTCAAGGATGATCACCTGATCAAAAAACACAGGAAATCACCTTTTCATGCATGATTTAAAAGAACAAGGTCCAAGGAGATAGAAAGAGTTTGCTATCAGCTGCAATGAGCTGAATGCAAAGGAAAATTGTTTTGCAACCTGCAGGAAAGTTGAAGAGTGTTAAATGTCATCTGCAACCACTCTTCTTATTATCGGTTATCCTTGGTTCCTGACCATTTGCTTGATTAATGAATCAGTCTATCAAATGTAAGAACATTGGGAAAAATACCAAGTAGGACTTTCCAATTGTCTTTTTTGGACAACAATCAATAACCTAAAGATCTTCAATTTACTATATGGCAACAAAGAACAATCCTATTTGAAAGCAGGAATCAGATCAATTAAGCACTTTTGGAGTCAAACAATAATCAAAATACTTTCAAAATATATTTCAATAGACTAAAAGATTCATATGAACTCTTAACACCAGGCCAAATTCTGACAGACTTCAGAAGAATACCCAGCAACTTATCTTGTCAATTCTTTTCACATATTTCTGTTAACAACCTACATTCTGCTGCACCAGTGATGCCTATAGCTGTCTTGTCATCTTATCAGTGCCATATATTTACTTGTCTGTTTTACAAGTCACAGTGGCCCAGACACAATGCCGCCGTAAAATAAAGTTGTCTCTCTAATTACTTCCAGTTGTGTTCCTCTGCCAAATAAGTGTCTGTTTGAGTAAAGTAGCAGATGCTGGACAGGCTGAGATTAAGAGTGAAGTAAAAGTGTTTGGTTTAGAGTGGTTTAGTTACACATTTTACCATCATTTCTTTTCCTCCTTTGAAAAAAACGTTTGTTCATAGTGTTTATTGACTTGAGATCAAGAATTCACCCTCTTTCTGAAATGTGAAACTCCATTTTATTCTGCTCTCTTTTATGTGTCATTTTTTCTCACCATTTTTACAGTATCTCTGTTCCTGACTTCACTATCTCTCTTCTTTTTGTCCAAAGCCAAGCTGGAGGGGGGTTATTGGTTAGCACCTAGGTGTCAAATAACTCGATGCTTTTTACAACATGATAGCCTAATTCACCAGGGGGCCTGAATGAAAGATGAGATGAGGCAAAGGAAGGGGAATACTGAGCCTGATTCCAAATAGGAGAGGAAGGCGAGGCAGTGTCTGACCACAGCTTTGTATTCAAGGCGAGGGGAGGAGAGGAAGAGAAAGACAGATAGAAAGACCGACCGGGAGAAGAGGACACAATGAGTGTAGTGGAGACAAAGAAAGGGGGGAGAATCTGAAACAATCATATCAGTTTTCAGAGCTTAGACCGAATTCTTGTTACTTCATTGTCAACAATATTGATGACAACATTTGTTATTTGTATTAATCCACAGCTAAAGGAAAATGCTGCCTTGGCTTTAATTAATTCAGTTTTAATAATCGACCTTGAGCAATAACAACCTGTAGAAATACTCATCATTTAAAAGTGAAAATGCATTTAGTCTTATACCTAAACATTTTACTTCAATATATTCAATATATTTGAAAGTAAAAGCATTAATTTGGTGTAAAAAGTATTACTTATTGTGCAAATTAATAATATAAATGTATATTATGAGATTATGATTATCCCTGGTGAAAGAAGAATTCAGATAAAGAAAAAGAAAGCTATTTCACAATCTAAGAATACTTTTTCACTTTAAGTTAAAGTTCTGGTTAAAAGTACTATGATCAAAATATATAAATTAAAAGTACTTATGTACAAAGATCCAGTATTAGATTTGAATTATTGATGCTTTACAGTGTAAATATCACAAATGCTGCAGATGGAAGATGAAGGTTAGGGCTAATAAACCCAACACTTCATGATTCATTAATTGATCATATTTTACCTATTAATCCAAATATAAATAGCATTTTAAACTTTGAAATAAAACATGGAGTGTGGTACAAAGTGCAATATTTAAATTGTAGTATTAGTAAGAATGTGGAATTACTTAAGAAAGGTATATATTTCTGCTATAACAGAAAGTACAACGTCAAAATACTACAGGTTAAATAGATATTCTCAATCTGAGACATTACTCACTGCTTCTATCTTGCACTGGCCTAGTTTCTCTGCCTCAGGTACCACAGGGTTGGTGATGGTGCTGCTGTTGAAGTTGGGGCTTTTGTCCTGTTTGTCCACTCTGATAAGCCGGCTTATGTAGGAGTTTGCAGATGGAGACGTTTTCAGAGGTCTGTGCTGCTCCTCAAACACAGGCTCTGCTTTTGAGTTCTTGCGACTTTTACCAGACAGGAGGTTGTCCCAAACTTTCCCTTCTTTCGGGGAGCTTGCACCATTTTTAGCTAACTCCGAGTTCTTTCGGTTTCTCCCGGACAGGAGAGACCCGACTCCCCCACCTCCTCCGCCTGTGCTGTCGGAAGAGGAGTTCTTGCGCTGGCCCGTTTTGGAGGCTGTTGTTTTGGTACCAATGCTGGCCACCATCCCGGTTATATTGGCTCTGGGTTGCGAGCCTGACTCGGAGGCTGAGCGGATCCTGTCGGTTCCGTTCTTCAGATTGATAGGGAACTCTTTGAACCACTTCGCCATGTTAACTCAGATGGAAACCAATAAACCTCTATGCGTGCTCTGACACCTTTTAGCGCCATACACCACAGGGCCCCAGAGACGCACCTTTAGAAATCACAGCCTTTCTAACAAAAGACTTCCGTTGCTTTATTCTAGGGAAGAACATAGACTACAGTATACCTCAAAGCCTCGGTGTCATAAATGTTTCCCAAAAGACTATATTTTTAAGATTTAACTTTAAAAAAAAGTTTGTGGGTGACTAACAGAGTGCTTTAAAAAAATAAATAAAAATGTTTCCCTACTTCATCCCATTTGTGATTTTCTTACACCTGTTTTTTTTCTTCTGATATAGAGGACACGTTTATTCCCTTTGGATGAAAATATGTCTTCGGAGTGGAATTACCCGATAGAAGGCAAAGTTCTTCTTGCTTGTAATTTGTGGTCCCATTCCCAGAGTGCAGTTTATCTGGTCTTTCACAACTTTCCACTCTCACAATGAGGCTCCTGACTGCGCCTGGCGTATAGAGGGGAGGGGGTGTCTACATTTAAGAGGAGGGAAGCATGACCGGGTGGGCGGTGATAAGCTTTAATTCTAGAGACCATGGTAGAATAACCTTTTTAGGAGTCTTGTATATCGATCTACCAGGATAAGTGACAGCTTTATTTATATTGAGCTGTATAATTAACCTAGCATCGTTTTATACATATATTCGCTTTATTATTTATATACGAATCAAAATAGCGATTTAGAAATGTGCATACAATTGTAGATTTCTAGATGCTTGCATTTAATTAGATTAAAACATATGCTCACAATCAATCTCCCTTCATGCAATACTTTTTTTTAGATAACGACTCAAATTGAATTCGACAGTTATGTTAATATTTGGATGTTGGGTGTTAATGTAAGATTAATCATGATGTCACTTGATAATGTGCTTAATTGGCTGTATAATTAATGTCCACCCCTTATTTAATTGTAAGGGGTATCGTTGGGAAATGGTCTGTTCTGAGCTGCGCCAAATATACCAGTGAAAGGTATGAAAGTAGTTCTGCAAATAGAATAACACATTGTGGACGGCAGTCGTATGGATATTTGTTTAATAAATACTTTTTTTTATCTGATAGATGATACTACAATATGTTTTCTTATCTTAACATTTGAAAATGCTTTTTATATTCATGAAGTATACTTGTCGCCACCCCCATGTTTGCGCTGAGGTGTAACCTTCCACGGTGCGCGATACTCCTGCTTGTCCCTCTTTGTCCGGTGGCGATAGTAGGCCATGATAATTATGGCAAAATTTGCGTTTTTGAATGAATTATAGCTGAATGGTGGATCAACAAGCATACACCGTGTGAGGACTGGTTTGCTGGCAATGACACACCAGAGAGTTTCAATTTAAAGGACAGCAGAGCAAGCAACGGAGAAAGGGTACAGTTTGCTTCCAAGACAGTCTGCAAGATGGCTAGCTATCTTCAGTGGCATGCTAACGTTAGCTAGCAAGCTAATGTTAGCATAGTAAACACCAGTTTTCAAAACATGATCGATTGCTTTATCTTTTAAATGCTGTGATACGTGGAATTGAATGCACCTTTTCCCAAATGAGTGTTACAAGGGAAATCACAGTATTCAATACATGTTGCAGTGTTGCCGCTACTGGGTGAAATCTCAACGCTGCTAGCAAGCCACATTGAATAGCGTGGCTAGCTGGTTAGCCAAGGTAGTAACTAGCTTGCGTTAGCTAGCTGGTCGTCTTCTTTGCTACACATCTGTAAGTGATCATTAAGAGAGGGGGGTGCTATGTAACTTGCTACTACTGGCAGTCAAGCCAGGTAGCAAGCAACAGATTCACTCAGTGAGAAGTGACTGGCTTGCAAAGAGACCAACTTGTGCTCAAAACGTGAACTAGCTCAGTTTTACCTGACGTTTATTTGGTGACCAAATCCCGGCGTGACAGACACCGTGGCGAAAGATTTGCAGCTGTAAAGGAGTGTGCAGACCTGGGCCGGCGTTTTAATATAATATTCGTGTTAGTTTCTGATGTTATATTACGCATTTTGACGTTATTGACATGACCTGAAGGCAGTATCCACCTACTCGGCTCGTAGCCTTCAAGACGTCGTCATTTTTAACTTTTTTTTTCTTGCATATGCACGGTGATATGCCACTTCACCGACAGTCATATTAGCTAATGGCTGCCGAATCGGGGAGACTACTGGCGGGACAAGGAAAACGAAGCAAAGGTAGGAATTAATTTCACCCATCTCCCAATCAGATCGGAATCATCCATTACTGCGCTGCAATGGGCTGCACTGGGGCTGTTCCCAAATCCCTTCTCGCCTCCTCCATATGTAAACTTCACGTCTCCGGTGGTGGCTGTTTCTCACAGAGTGGATCTCTGAACGGGGTTCATGTCTATCTTGCTATAAATGTGCCTTCAACTCCGTTTCCTCGTTCTCATGTCTTCGTCTTATCCTGTCTCCCTCATTGACCTTACCTCTTCTGCCTCTGTTTGCGGCCTCTCTCCCTCTCGCCTGGGTCATTTGGTCTGCCTGGGTCATTTGCGATTCAAGGCTTCATAACCTTGGTGATGATAGCGCCTGGATGTTCAGCATCTTGTCCTCATGCCAGTCTATGTCCCATCATTGAATCCATCTCAACTGTTGGACTTGAAACAGATGCCCTAGGTCTAAAGCTGCTCCACTCTGTCACTAAGGGGTATTGGCCAATCCAAATGTGATGGTGCGCTTGATTGGTGCTGTACCAAAAGTATGAGACCCGATGGCCTAGTTTTGTTGTGGCTAATGTTCATATTTCCTTATTTCAGCTTCTCAGATGAAGAGCCCGGAGAAGAAGAAGGCGAGGAAATCCACCAACCAGGTAAGGGTTGTTTTGTGATGAAATGTCATTACTTTGCTACTACTGTTTCCCAATATAAAAGCATTGACGATAACAGTGATATAAAAAATATTTTATTTCCTCGCATTCTCACTTTGTCTCCTTCCCATAACTCCCCAGTAAGTGAGAGTGCAATTTAGTTGCCAAGAAAGAGACAAAATGCACAATTGACAAATAATGTATCTGATAGATTTATTTATTTTTCAAGTTTCACTAGATATTGTTAATTTTAAAAAATGTTGGCAACTATAATCTTGTGGTGAAATTACTATGTGCTCGATAAAACAAAAAAGTCCTCTGTATGCAACAAATGGATCTTGGAGACTGCTAAAAGGAAACTTTTAAATGTTCCGGTACTGCAAAATTAATTAAAAACATTTATTTTGTATTTCTTTCTCCTTTAGGCGGCAGGGTTCTCCCACCTAACGGAGTTTGCACCCCCTCCTACCCCCATGGTGGACCACCTGGTTGCGTCCAACCCCTTCGACGATGACTTTGGGCCCCCATCTCGACCTAGCGTGGCAGGTGGAACAGGCAGTGCTCCATTTCTTCCCAGCCCAGGTGGAGGAGGTGGGTATGGCGGTGGAGGCCGAATGGGCGTAGGCATGGGCTTCATGGGAGGCCCAGGAGGACCAGGCGGAGGCCAACCTGGTCGAAGGCCACCATTTGGCCCTCCATCCAACGCTGGACCTCACCACCAGCTAGGCTTTGGAGGAATGCCGGGCTTTGGAGGGGGCGGGGGAGGAGGAGGTGGATTCCCCCCTGGTGGCCCTTCTCAGTTCAATATGCCACCAAACTTCAGTCCACCAATGCATCCTGGGCCAGGATTCAATCCCATGTTATCTCCAGGGGCTATGGGAGGTCCCGGAGGAGGTGGGCCTCCCCACCCTCGGTTTGGCATGCCTCCCCAGCAGCAGCAGCACGGACAGGGTGGACACCCATTCAACAGCCCACCGTTACCTGGTGGTGGAGGCCCCAGAGGGCCCCCACATGGCCCCCTGCCTTCCATGGGAGGAATGGGTCCTGGAATGAACATGATGGGTGGCATGAGTGGTGGCCCCGGAGGAAATATGGTGGGGGGGTTACCTGGTATGCCCCCTCAAGGACAATTCCCCCCCTCACAGGATGGTCCATACCCTGGCCCCAGTCCGCCAGGGCCAGGTAACGAGGATGGAAAGAACTTTGGGGGAGGAGGGCCACCACCTGGGCCTCAGCAGCAACAACAGCAACATCTTAACCTAAATCCCAATGGCCCCCCTCCTAATAACACCCCTCCTGGCCCTGCTCCTAACTCTGGCCCTCCACAGCAAGGGGGAGGCTTCCCTGGCCACCCTGACGCCCAGCAGCCCAACCCCAACACACCTGGCCAGCCCTCCTCAGCGCCGACACAACCGAACCCCAACTCCTCCCCTACTGGGCCTCTAAATGGATCAGGCCAGCCCCAGCATCAACCCCCCGGTCAGCTACAACCCCCCAGCAACAACAACACCCCCAACTCTAACAACTCTACCCAGCAGCAGCAGCAGCAGCAGCAGCAACAGCAACAGCAACAGCAACAGCAACAGCAGCAGCAGCAGCAGCAACAGCAGCAGCAGCAGCAGCAACAGCAGCAGCAGCAGCAACAACAACAACAACAACAATCCACCCCACCTCACTCCGGCCCTGGCTCCACCCCTTACAACCAGCAGAACAACACTCCCAGTGCCGGCGGTCCCATGCCCAATGCAGCCTCCAATTCGGGTCAGAACAGCATGACCAACAACGGAGGCAATACTCCAGGCAGCAACCCCAATCCCCCGTCTAATTCCACCTCAACCCCAAACACCCAGAGTCCCCTGCCCCCCGGCCCTGCTGCCCCCTCGACCGGGCCTGGCTCCGGCCCTGGAAAACTTGGCGGCCCCGGGATGGTCTTTCCCTGTGGCCTCTGCATGGCTGAGGTGCATGACGACCAGGACGCCATCCTGTGTGAGGCGTCGTGCCAACGCTGGTTCCACCGTGACTGCACAGGCCTGACAGAGCCAGCATATGCGCTGCTGACTCGAGAGAGCGCCGCTGTTTGGGCCTGTGACTTCTGCATCAAGACCAAGGACATCCAGGCAGTATTTGTGCGGCAGGGACTAGGCCAGCTGGTTGCAGCTAACGAGAGTTGAGGAGTGGATGAAAAAGGAGCAGCATGGAGGTGCTCACATGACGACAAATGGAGACATTCTTTGCTTTGATCGAACTGAATGAGCTGTGCGTCATGTCACCTACTTGCCCAACTTTCTCTGGACTAGCCCTTTACTTGTTCACTACCCAGAGAAACACACTCGATGACTTTCATGCTTATCTGTACCACCTTGAGTGACTCTTGGTATATGATTTGTAGTTTTATTCCCCCCCTAAAGGAGTCAAATCACAATGAATGTTAAACTAAACAGTACTTCAGACATCTAGCCTGCCAACCAGCAAAGCACTGACACCAACACACTACCTCACACACTTTGTGACTGACTGGCACGGACGCTCCCGCACTGACTGACTGTGATTGACTCGCCACACTCATGCACACATGAGTAAGATGCTATTTCGAACACGTAAACCCACCTTAGACGGAGAAAGTAATGTTAAAATATTCCCTTACTGTGTATTGACACAATGACTCAAAGCATCAGTGGCTTTACATAAAAAACGACTTGATGTATTACATCTTTAAATTTGAGGAAAAAAAGAGTGCCTAAATAATCTTAAACAGACTTTGGTTTCATTCATGAATTGATTTTCCATCAAAATGCTTTATCTAGCACTGCCCTTCCACATTGTGAGCCTTTTTACTGCAAGCAAGTGAGAGAAAATGGAAGATAAAATCAGTATGTTGCAGCGTAAAACTTGTGTTAAGTAAACCGTATGTTATTGGTGAAAAAATGAAATGTTAAGTTCTTTTGTCTGTTCCTTCAGACATGCTTACAAACAGACCTGTACTTCTTGTTTCTATCATTTTGTACCCAGTGCTGATTAACCCAAAGGAGACCCTGACCAAGTTTTCATCCACACCTCACAAAGGATTTTACCATTTGAAATAGTTGTAAATATTGGGAAAAAACATTTGTCTGGTACTCAGCTCATCAGTTGTGAACATGCCACAGAGTTGAGCAATGAACACAATTATTATTTGAAATGATTTGTCTTGGTTGTATACAGTTTAACATTTTGGATTTAAAACAGTACATTTGGGTCATCCATTACTTTTTATGTCTGCAGTACACATGAATTGTGAAATCAGTGCTTTTCGATGGTGTTGGCTTTGCAAGTAGTGACATCATTTCATATCGGAGGTGCATAGTCCTCTATAAAAAAAAAAAAGACAAAAAAAGAGTGGGGGGGTGCATGTGAACCAATGCAGTAACTGATCTGTTTATGTTTATATCTGGCCTCTGCGCTGCAAGAGGCCTTGAAGTAGACCAAATAACTTAAGAGCGAACAATACCAATTTTTCAAATTTCTGTCACGGTATAAGGTGTTTATAACTATTCTTACTTCTCTCTTTCCCTATTTTTCTTTATTCAATGTCCAAGTTGCCTTTCTTTTTCTTGCTCTCAGCTGTTCCTTTTTATTTTGTGCTGTGCTCTTGCTCTGCTCTGGCGCCTCCTGGTGGACCCCGGAGGAACAGTGGGTCCCACACCAGGTGGGGAAGGGAAAGGTACTGAACTTTGAAGTAAAGACCGAATTTTTTTGTACTTGTCCATGTCTGTTTTTATTCTCATTCTTTTTTATTTGTTTGCTAATTGTTGTATTAAAATGAGGGTTGACAAACCCAATGAAATTGATAACAATGTAATTTATTTTTAATAATTGCCGCTGCAGCTCCTTTTTCTTTGACTGTTTACATTCAGATGTTTCCTAGGACATCAGAGATTTGCTTTAAGGTTTTCTTTACATTGTATTATTTCCAAAGGAAAAACAATTCACACTTTTACAAGAGTGATTTCATTAAGCTTGTTGGATACAAGTTAGCATCATGATGATTGTTCACACTTATTTTACATCCCCATATTAGTAAAAATGTGATTTGGTCGGCATATACATTTTTAATTTCTTTATGTATCTTAAAGAAGTTTCCTGAACAAAAAGATATCAAATGTAAAATGGGGACTGTGTTCTTTACCACTCTTAAAATGAATTCAAATAATACGCTAAGAAGAAGCATGACTAAATTAATGTCTGCCATGATAGAGCAAGTCAGCTGAACCTGCAATAATAGACAATGTGTCTAAACCAAAGCTAACAATTCAACAATTGTGGATAGTATTCTCCCGAGATAAATAATTCTGATTAGTTATTGTCATGGGTTTAAATTGAGCTGTTCTGTCAAAGAAACTCTTGGATGTTCTCCAGCGTGCCTCTTTCATTGTGCTGGGTACCAACTTATATAGTTATTTACAGTAGACCCTTACCACATTATCATGGGATCATTTGGATGTTTAATAAAGTTGTGTTAGGGTCTTTACAAAGAGTGTGAGTTCAATGTGACATTAAAGTTTCCCTGAATATTGATATAACACAGGAGTTGCTTCTTGATGTATAGGTAAATAACGTAAAGCAGATAACCATGTGATCTAACTGGACTCGCCTTTTGTCCTGTCAATAGTTAATTCGTTTTGCCTCAGCAGTGATCAGTATTTCTCCTGATCTGCATTGGGATGAGACATAATTATAGCCCAATACTGCCATGTTTACATTTTCAAATTGATTCCGAAATGATTTCCCTTAACAACTGCTAAGTACATGGGTCACACACGCTATTTATTTATTTAATTAACCTGTGTGTGTGTGTGTGTGTGTGTGTGTGTGTGAAACTATGGTCACAGCAGGCCTCGCCCCCAAGGGAGCCGCCCGCCAATCAGCTCGGTCCTGAGGCGGGACCACGGCTATCCGATGTTCTGGCAACAGGTTGCACTGGTAGTGGGGGGGGGGGAGAGATTTCCCGCTGTCCTCAGTTCATTGAGTAACGCCTTCTCATCCCACCAAACAGTACAGAGCAGCGGCCGTGAACACTGAAGCAGGAGGGACCACATTTCGCGGTTATAGGATCATCTGTACAGGTGCAGTAAACAAGTATTTACACAGCTGCTGCTTATCAACTCTTCACTTGAGTGGGGAAAGTGCAATGCTGTAAGCTCCGTTTTGCTGAGCGAGCGTTTAATAGCATTTGGATAAACCGATATGGACACCTGTGGCTTTGTTGTTTGATTTGGCAACCTTATAATGACCTAGAATCGGGCGCAGAAAGCCTTTTGTTGTCCGCTTTCAGGCGTGTTGTCAAAGCTTTTGGTCTCGGCTCTGTGTGTACTCCGCTGCTGTCTATAATTGGATCTATTTGCGCGGCGTAAAAAGGATAAAAGAGGTTATTATGTCTGGGAAACGCTTCATGTAGGACTGGGGCTAGGTTTTATGGTTGTTTACCTGCTTACTGTGCTCGGGGTCCCAGTAAACAACCCGGAGGTTTCGACGCGCACCGATACTGACCGACCGGAGAGGTGGGTGTGACGCAACTCTCCTAGGAGCAGACAGGTGCACTGCCCTGATGCCCCCCCTGAATAAAGTAGTACTTTTATTTTATATTAATTTGAAAATGGTATTATTGAATTTGTCAGACCAGCTGTGTAAATAACGTGACGTCTGCTAATAAAACACTCCTATTTGATAGATGTATGTGGCTTTGTCCAGGTAAGATAAGAATCATATATGTGCAAACATTATGTTTTACAACGTCCCATCTGTTAAAACAGGGTGAATAATCTTCAGTTACCTTTAATATAAATTGCTCCAGAAATAGTCCTGACCTACAGTTTTTGCCTGGGGGAACACCTCAAGCCCTCTTTAAGGTGTTTGGGTAAACATGTATCTTTTAAAGAAAGACAAGTCTTTCCATGTTGTTACCATTTTACACAAGATAAACCTGCATCTATGTCTCCAACACAGCCAACAATACTGATAACAACAGGGCTTGCCTTTCTGTTTTTACTGCATTTAATCAAACACAAATACAATGGTGTTTGAACATGGATGTTGTGCTTCATTTAATTGTAGATGATAGTCCAGTATTTAATTACGTTTTTATAGGAATTTCATCACTTATATGTTTATATAGTGTATTTTAAATAATTTATTTTTACTTAACAACAACGTTTGTTCATTAAGTCTTTGCATATGTGAAGATATACATCTGAGATGATCAAAGTGTTTCTCGGTTGCATTGAAGATACATGTAATCGTGTAAGACGATTTTGCATATATTTAATCTGACACAATTCTAACAAAAAAATTGATTACATAAATATATTTAGGTCGCAACTGATTATTACTTTCATTCTTGGTTTATACATTAATAGGCTGTTAAATATTTCTAAAGAAGTGACACATCATCCTTTTCCAGAGTTCCAGGTGATGTCATCTAATTGTTTGTTATGTCCAAAATCCTAAAGATATTTAATTTGCACGGATATAACAAAGAGAAAGCAGAACATCTTTATTAGAACTAGCACAAAAATGACTTTGATATGAGATTATACAAATTCTAGTAATTCTGTCCAATGATATCTCTTTTTATTGATTCATCATCTAATGATATACCATTATCTAAGTCCTAGTGTCAAAGTAGCGCGTCATCCTGTTCAGATATCAAAGGCAGGAGACAGTTTGGGAGAAAGTATACGATCAGACGAGTGGCAGCAGTCACAGGGTGACAGAACATGGCCAGAGGAAAGTGGGCTCTGTGAGCGTAAAGGGAAGAGAGATGGCAGAAAGTCCGGTTTCATGACATTCCTGTTTCTTTGTAGACACAGCCATTCCTTGTGACAAGAAAGAGCTGTAGAGGAGGTGAACCTGTTGTCACCAAAAAGTGCTCAGCTACTGGCTGTTACACAACTACCAAGTCTGGAAATCTGTATTTACCCAGGGAAAATACTTACACCTGAGTTTCTGTGTGACCAGCGATTAGCAGCCTTGGGCTTAACAATAGACAATAACATTATCCTTTTATAAGGTTTTCCAACATAGCTGAGGGCTAGATTTTTTTAACCTTCATATTATAGTTTGGTGTCCAGTGTGCAACACGGCCTGCAAACCTGCTTGTTTGATATGTTAGGCTGGGGGAATCAATTTGTTTTTGCGCTGTATTTTTTGTTTTTTAATGAGTCTTTTCACTTTTGTATTTACTGCCTATGTGGAAAGTTTTCCGCATGTATAGGCTTTACAGTTAGTGCTGCCCTAGTTCTCAGTTTCCTCTTAATCTGTCCTTATTAATACAAATGCAAACTACGCGCAATGCCCGAGTAAAGGGAACGTCTGGAATCCTAAGAATGTTTTTAGGAAAGACAAAGGCTGACTTTGATTCACCAATACAACCTCAATGCCAGCCGAGGTGCTTCGCGTTACACAATAACCAGCGGCCAGTCAGAGTCAGTTACATTTTAGTTTCTGTGAGAGTCACATCTTTAGCTATGGACAAAGGAAACATACAGGGGTTTGAAGTGCGATGCTAAGCCCTGTTGAGCAGCTTTAGCAGTGCTTAAACACAAAGATGTATGTGTTCAAGAGAAACAACACTTTCATGTGACAGCCAAAGTGTTTTAACAAGATTCCACAATACTTTCCTGCCACTCAAAAGCAGCAATGCTTATTAGATCAGATACCTGCTCCCAGAGGGTGCATGTGTCTGCGAAAACCCCTCTCAGATCTGTGTGTATGTGTGCTTGCGCAGCTTAAAGTAAACAGTGTACGCCTGAGTGAGTCTACTCTGAAGTCTGGTGACTGTGGAGACTTTGGCGAAGGCAGAGAAAGAGAGAGGGGAGGCCCATTCCTGACATAGCCCCCAGTGTTTAATGCTCCACAGAGCCGGGACAATAAGAGGAGTATTCCCTTCCTCATAGTGTTCATCACCAAGGTCCTCTTTCAGAGCGAATAAGATGGACATGCTCAGGTTATACTAACATTGTGGCTGACGGACTGGCTTAATATGACAGAATATATTTTTGGGTTAGATCACTGAACTAGTAGATATTAACATGTTACATTACTCTGGGAAATGTACTTCAGTAATTTTATTGGCAAAATATACTTCTTAGGTTAGTTGTTCTGCAGAATATATATTTTGTCTGATCACACCCTCTGGAGAAAGTAAAACGAATAGTTTGTTAGATCCCGCGTGGCACATTTTTCATGACATCACTATAATTAAACCTGGTTGAGAAGGAATTAAACCAGTAGAGCAGCAAGAGAATATGTCGGCATGATCACGGTGTATCAGCAGTCTGGTATTGTTGCAGAGTCAGGGTGACTTCCCCTGGAAATAAGTGATACATGCAGGTTAAAAAGAGGCATCTGAGTTAGGGAGTCATCCTTTTTAAGACTATCTTTAAAAAGCAACAGCTAAAACAATAACTATGTGTATTAAATCATCTGCAGTTCTGTGGTGCTGAAAAGAGAAATTCAGAGGTCTTTTCATCGAGACTTTTGTTCAGTCTCTTTGTGACTTGTTCCTCTAATTCACCTGATTTGCATTTCTGCTGTTTTCCCTCCCTGTGTCACCAGGCTGCTTGCAGAGAAACCAGGAAATCAGCATGAGCTCTCCGTCCACTGACAGGAAGCCTCTGGTGGATTACGGCGTTCAGATCCGCTTCATCAAGGACCTCCATGACACAGGTGGTGGTTTCCCTGATAAATCCAAAGTGAACGGCAGTACTGCAACCCCTCCTTCCAGTAAATACGGGGTGGCAGTGCGCGTTCAGGGAATATCTGGACAGCCCTATGTGGTGCTGAAAGATGGCCAGAAAGGCGACTCTTACGGAGTTCAGCTCAACACTCCCACCTCCAGCTCAGGGCCACCTTCACCGTGCAACAGCCTCCCCAAAATAAATAAAGAACCGGCAGGATTAACAAACCCCTATAGAACTGCTGTAAGCACAGCACGCTCCCCTGTTGTTTCTCCAGTGCAGGATGAGGTTGGCGAGATCTTTGGGAGCCCACATAAAAGACCTCCAGGGGATGGGCAGGCAGGAACACAAGGGGAGGAGGAGGGTGGAGCCGGGAGGCAGGGAGAGAGGTCAAAACCTGAATTCCAACTCAAAGCAGCAGCAAGTGACGCAAAAGAGAAAACCAGAGATAGGACTGACGAGGAGTATAACGAAGCAGGGCTGAAACGTGTCAAATTAAACGGTGTGACACCAAAAGGGGTTCCAAAACCTGTCTCTGGTTACACCGGCTCTTTGGGGAGATACAGTGGGAAGAGACAGAGCAACGAGTCCTCTTCAGAGTTGTTCCCTGAACCTCCAGCAGCGACTAATGAGGAGCCCATCCCGGCGATCGACACAAACTCCCTGGCTCCCATCAACAAGCTCATCAGTAAGTTCAACAGCGGGACCCCGAGCAGCGCCCCACAGACGAGGGGCCGCTCCGGGGCGAGGCAGAGGCTCAGGTTTGACGAGCGCAGGCGATCAAGAAGTCTTGATGCTCGACAAGATGTCCAGGCTGAGGTTCCCTCTCCTAGCTCTCCCACGTTCAATCCCTACGCTATTCCTCTGTCCACCTCCTCCTATTCGTTGGCATCATCTGCCCCAGCGAGCAGTAGCCTGGGAAGCAGCACTGCCTCCAAGGGGAAGACGCTCGATGCCCCGAAGACGAGCTTTAAGTCACCGGGGACGGTTGTTGCTAAGAACACCTATCCAGCTCTGGCAAAAAAGCCTGTAAGTAGCAGCGATTGTGAGGTATTAGATCGTCTAGTTGCATTGTTTTCTAACGCAGCTAACTCTGTATTTAAAGGAGATATCGCAGAGGAGTCAAATCAAAGAGGTCACCAATGGGGAGGAAGCTCAAGTGAAGCAGGTGATTTACAACATCCTTAAAGAGGGGTAAGTAGACTACAATTATGATATACTCTCTATAAGTGTTGCTTTATATGAATATCATCTGTATTTCAATCTTATTGACTGTCCGCTATTTCCTCATCAGCACGAGTGAGAGTGAGGGATCCCTGAAGAGAAAGGTCAACCTCGTCTATGACACAACGGGAAGTTTTAAGGTACAACAAAACATTAAAACCCTTCTCTTTTTAGACCACAATGCATGGAATATGAGCTATTTGTACATGCATATCTATATGTCTAGTGTTTTACTAATGGATTATATAATATAGATACAGTAACAACTTGATTTTAGAAAAATAAAGTCGTAAGTGTTGATTAGAGTCAAACATTTAGCCTTAGTTACTGTTTTAAAATGTTTAAGTTCCAGCTTTGTTTTTTTAAATGTTGCTTGTGGCGTGACCCTTGTTTGCATTTGGATTATAGCTTGTGTTTATACAGTAGTAGTTCAACATTTACATTACTGTTTTTCTTTCAGAGAGTCCTTACTACTCTCACGTCTGTAAGGTTAATATTCTGCTAAAACCAGCAGCTTGTTATCTTAGCTTAGCATAAATATTGTAAACAGGTAAACCCCTTACCCTGACTATGTCTAAAGGTTGCTAAATCTGCCCCAGAAGCTGAGAAGATAAGCTGTTATTTATCTCAAACTACTAGTAGCAGTACTTGCTTTTAAACCGTCCTCATTGATTTTTCTTTTGCAGCTATCTTAGTTCGAATCTCCCCACTTACCAGCAATCACATAAAAGCTTTACAAACAAATGTAAACATATTTTATTTAAAACAAAAATGAATTGCACACATTTACCAAAGCACATAATCCAAGGAGCTTTTGTGGTGTGGGTCCTGGATGGTGGTGTCTGAGGGGCATCTTGTAATGAAACAGATGGTTAGCAGCTTTGCCTCTTTCCTAAGGATATGAAGTTCCTGTTTCCTCTACTCCAGGGGTACTCAAATACAAATCTTAAAGGTCCAACATTTTCTTTTCAATAAGACAAAGGTCCGTTTATTACGGTCATTCACACGAGGTTGCAAAAACAAAAATAATCTGTATGCAGCAGTTTTCATTGTTATTGTGTCTGTGCTTGATCCCTCAGGNGGGGGGGGGGGGGGGGGGGGGGGGGGGGGGGGGGGGGGGGGGGGGACGAGGGGGGGGGGGGGGTTTTAATAATCTCAAAAGGGAGAATGAATAGAATGAATTAAAAAAAGCAGCATCTCAATGACACATGAAGGCAGGCGCGTTTCTAATTAAGTGCCTGTACTTTTTTTTGATTAATACCCTTTTTAGCCTACAAGAACTCTTAATTTATAGACTGTGATTTGATATGAAAGCCATATAGATGTCGTACCTATTACTGGTCTCCTCCTATAATTGAATGAAAGTTGCATACTTTCATGGCATTTTTCCCCCTTTGCTCTTTTCTTTTTGTTCTTTTCTGATAATTTCTGTAACTTGAATGTGTCATTTTTCTTTTCCTTTTGGCCATTCGCTTTTGCATGCCGGGTCTTTTGCCCTTCCTCCCCATGGGGGCGTGACCCTCTACAGTCCACTCACTCTCCCAGCATGCCCTAAAGAGCAAGCCCCCCCACAGACAGGGCAGTGCGGCAGCACCATGCCTGTAGCATTCCTTAACACACCGTAGTGTCAGGTTCACTGATGAGGTCACGGTTAGGTAAGAACCACCGGCCACCTCACGCACCTCCCAACCTTTTCCTTCTCCCCTTTTTTCAACGCCAAAGGCAGAGCCTTTAAGCATGTCCTGGCGAGCATTAACAAAACTCCTAAGCCCTTGTTGCCATCCGTGTGAGGCCTGAAAACATCGTGCAGTGTCATGCGATGGAACACCATCTCGTTGAAAGTGCCAGCATGACGTGACAAACGTACAGCTGTATGTAAATGCCCCGCCACCCCCCCCACTTACAAGCAATCCCTTCTCCCACATAGACCTGGTTCCCATGGCAACTCACCAACCTTCCATCTGAGTGGTCTCACAGTGTTTGGCCGCAAGGAATGACTGGCTATGATAAATGGAGATACAGCATCAGAGCCGTTACATGTTACTGTCTGATGGCCTTCCATCTTCTCTCTGCCCCCTCCCCCCCCTGCATCTCCTTTCCGCCTCTTCACCCACACATTTTGGCACTTTCTCCGCATTTTCTTTTATCTACCTCCCGCTCATCATCCTTTTTTTCACATTATTCACTGTCTCTTCTCCCAACTCTGCTGCTCCCGTCCTCCGTCCTTGTACATCTTGTCTCCATCTCTATTCTCTCTCTCCTCTCTGCTGCCATGTTGTGGCGGCGCAGCGACCTGCAGCCGCAGCTGGACAGAGTGAGGAGTTCCAGCACAACATGTCTGAGACCAGACAACAACTTTCACTCCCCTGACAGAGACAGGTATAAAACAGAAGATGAACATACTTTTTGAATAAATCGAGTGGAATTAACTTGCAAGATTCTGATGTCACAGAAACTATGATCTTAGACTTTGTGTTCAGTGACAGCTTTCAAATCAGTTATTTTTTAGACTGCATGAATCATCTGACATTTTGAGTTTAGGATGCTGCATGTCTTCCCCAGTCCATGTCATGTGTCCCTGTCATACATGAAGGAATTTGCCATAGTACACTTACATAGAGAAACACCTACCTAATGGTTGAATTTGATTTATAAAACGATTTAATGGTGTTCTGAACATATCTTTAAATAATGACACATTTGTGTAGAGATACATGAGAAGAACGATACCACTCTTCTGTCTGTAAATAAGCTGCAGCTAACCGCTAACTTAACTTAGCACAAAGACTAGCAACGGAGGGAAACAGCAAGCCTGGCTGTTTTTAAAGGTAACAACAACCCACAAATTGTTGTTTTGGGTTTCTCGTATGGACTAGAGAAATGAAATAGAATAGAATATAATCGTTTAATGCCATATACATGTACAATGAGATAAATAAATGCTTCTCCCTTTCAAAAGGTACCATCAAAACAAAAAACATCACAACATAAGACAACAAATACACGCAGCATACATACTTAGGAATAAGGAATAAAGTGCAGTAATTATTTCCAGGGGTATACAAATAAAATCTATAATGTAATAAATAATAATAGTAGGTATCTTAATGTTACAATAATAATAATGATATATATGTATATAGAGTCACATTTATTTCACATGCTGGATGATTAAGAGGTATGACTTTCAGGTGTTAAGAGCAATGATGGCTCTTGGGAAAAAACTGTCTTGTTGGTTTTGGATTTGATACACCTGTAGCGCGTGCCGGAGGGCAGCGGGTGGAACAGGTGAAAGCCGGGGTGTGAACTGTCCTTGACAATGTTTTTGGCTCTACTAAATACAAAATTTGTAAGCTTAAAGGAATATCTCTGAACATTTGAAACAGAGTTGTATGAGCTACTTATCCATAGTCAATGTATAAACTACTGAAAATGGCAATGGGGCCCCTCAAGTCTGAAGCATAATAATATAACTTCAGGAGCTCAGTGAATTGTGCTTTATTTAGAACTTTGTTGCCGCTTTACCTTGCTGTCAGATTGCCCAACTATGATCTTTTCAAGGCCACCAGACTCCTTTGTCTAAACCAGTAATGTTACCTTCCAGAACATGGGAGTTTGTGGTCTGCCGCTGCCATGATTGGTTAGTTTGTGTTATCGAATGACTTTGGTATTTTAAAGGGTTAGTTCAAATACACTTTTATGTCACACAATTACACAAACAAACTAACCAATCAAGGCAAACGTAGTCCAGCTACCCCCATATTCTGGGAGGTAACATTACCGTTTTGTTTTATTTATTTGAAAAAAGATGGATAAATAGTTCCTTGTCAGAAAAGTTTGGTAAAACGGTAACGATAATCTAAATATAGTGTACACTTACACAGACATTGATTATATGTGTAACGACGCGCTGACCACCATTTATTGGATGTTTTACACCTACGCTTTCTCCAACAATCTGAACCATCTCTTCAGGAATGCTGATAGGTGGATTTTGTTACCTACAGAAAGCACCAGGTCTCTTTCCCTCTCAATGTCTATTCTAAAGTAGGTGTTGATTATTTCATGCGACTCCCAGCAAGAAACAATTAAATGTATTTGCCAATTAGTCTAAACATTGCTTACAATAAAAAGATGAACTATAACAAATGTAAGTTCCAGCACAAGTGCATGCTTTGCTCAGATTTCTAGCATTATTTGAAATGTACGATGAGACAAATCAAGCCAATTCTTTTTCCTGACATTATGCCAAAAGATTGAAAGAAAAATTGACAGTTTCAAAGCCTTGACTGTGCCTTTACTTACTAACAATCTCTCCAGGTGTTCCTACCTCGGGATGCTCCCCTTCCTTACCTCCCGCCCCTCTAGGTGCTCCAACTCTTTGCCCCGCAAGATTCCCCCAAGCCCCAGGATCTTAGTAGAACATGTGAACCCTGAGGAGGACAGGTATACCAGGCCTGCTCTCCCCAAATCACTTCGCTACAGCTCTGCTTGCCTGCTCTATCCTAAAGCCTACAGCACATTCCGAATTAATTGCGTTGCCCAGATCTTATGTTGATTCCTTCCCCTGTAAATATGTGTGATCCAAAGCTGTGTAATCCCTCTTTTATTCTGCCACACCTGCCCTTTCTGCTGAGCGCTTTTCCCCCACTTCTCTGGCTTGAAAGTGCTTTCTTTACTGTAACACTGTTGCTGGCCAGAAACAATTCACGTAACGTGCCATTTCCAGCTAAATTGCTTTCTCTAAGCACAAAAACCAAACCTCAGCTTAAGCCTTTTACATTATATCCAACACATCAGTCAATATTCAGTTTTGCCATTATGTGGGTCATTCTCCATATTGTTTTTTTTTTCTTTCTTCCTCTCTTTCTGTCTCTATGATTGCTGTTTGCCCAACAGGCAATGTAACAACTCATCAGGTCAAAACTGTCAAAGGGGCAGCAAAAAAAGTCTGGAAGGGGACAGGTAAGATCATTCATTTATTCGGTCATCCATCCTCTCACTGTTTCTAAGCTTTTCTCAATAACCCTAACCCTACTGACACTTAGTAGGTTCTTAGGGGCTCGAATGTTGTGATGTTTGGTTAATATGGTTGATATGAACCTATATACACTCCATTAACTCTAATTAGGAAGCCACAGTCAGCTATTTTGTTAGCTTAGCTTAATGTGGTGATTAGAAACAGCTAGCATAACTGTGCATGGTCTGTCGATTATGTGATACACCAATGGTCAAAATATTTCCCAATTGGACGAAAGCCAATCTGTCCACAAGCATGTCAACCCAAAAACAAACAGATATAGCTACTATGCTAACGGCATGTCTCAACGTACTTGCTATTCCTGGTTACCTTTGTTGGTTGGATTGGTTATTCTTTGGCATGAGGAGTGAGTGCGTAAGAATAATATTGTAAGCCAATCAGAGGCAGAGTAGGGCGGGCCATCGGAACAATATACGTTGTTTTCTTGCATCCTGTCTGACAAACAGACTTTCTGTCCTATGAGATTTCCTTTTGAAATAATAGAGTGGTGCAGTGTTGACATATTTTTGTAGGCCGCTCCGGAAGTATGCAACGCAAGTTTTCTCTTGATAAAATGGGTTTGTTTCATTGGATTTTAGCAGGATAATCTCCACATATTAACAGCACTTTTATGATTCTTGAAACGTAAATATAATCATCAGGAGTAAAAGGCTAACGCTATTAACAAACTGCATCATAGATGCATGGCTTCACATCCCCACTGCTAAGCTAAAGGTGGCAAATGTTCGGCGTGATGAATTAACTATCTAATTTAGACGCTTGCAACCACAGTTTTTAAGACACATAGAAGCGTGCTGTGTTTACTCATGTTAGTTTGTCGTAGAACAAAACGTAAAACTGTGTCTGTGTTAACTACAGACCTTATTTCAGGCCTCTAACCAAAAACAAATTTACAATAGTTAACCTTGAAACATGGGAACTGGAAGTGCAAAAATGCTGACTTATTTCGAGGGTATTGGGACTAATTCCTGCACCACTTTATAGGCCTTAGGAACAAAATATATATTTGCAACAGCTCCTGTAAAGCTTTATGGGGTTATTAGCTTTCCACATTTGAATGGACATTCACAAGTTTGTATATTTGCGGAATTATAGCAAATGCCATTTTACACCCAAGAATACATCCTATATAAAATATTTTGTTAACCCTCAAAGACCAATTAGAATATCTGTATTCAACAGTTCAGGTCAATGTCCAATCAGGATTATTGAAATTGAGATTCATCCTTTCCTGATACAGTGGCACCGTTGATTTCTTATGGAGTTCACAAAGTAACTCAGACATGTTCAACTTCTATTGTTATTAAGTCAGGAGCACCTCAGGGTTCCATACCCTTCACATTTTATTCAGTCAATTTTAAAACTGAAATGGTTAACTTTTTGGTCTTCCCGTAAACCGATCCTACACCTGTTACTGTCTACAGTATACACACAGATTGAACAAAGGTCATCCTTTTATTAGATATTTTCTGAGGCCGCTGCTTTATCTCATGCCATATTATTGGATAATACTGTTTGCTGCAGTATGGAAGCAGTGCATGCCACAGTCTTTGACTCCTGGTGTGCTGCACTCTCTTTTCATCAGGACTTCTAGACAGTCCTAACACACAGAGCCCCAAAATGCTGAACACATGTTGTTTTATTTTCATATGATTTAATCTTGCTTTATTTATCAAGTGTTATATTTTCATTTATTTTTATTTGCTGATGGCAGTCGTATCCAGCCCACCTCTATCCTGAGGGGTAGTAGGGGGAGAGGGGGCCCTCTGAGGCCCTTTGGTCAGACAGTCTTGTCTGGGTCCTGCCCAAACTCACCGCGGCTAGACAGGTGCATGCTCCAGCTCCTGTACCCCCCCCCCTACCCCCACTGTTCTGTCCCCTCTGTAAATGTCACATCATGAGTGTGATGACATACTGTATGCAGCATGCACACATGGGAACGTCATACCTCAACAAGCAAAATGATGTTAAAATTCCAAGATCTAACTATAAAAAACAACAGCGCCCTGTTAGCCAAGGTACAGTAGGCATGGAAATCTATAGGTGTGTGATAAGTCAAATGACTTGGACTCCTGTCATACTCTAGTAAAAAAAAGGAAAATACTTTAGACTTGATTTGACAAAATAAAAAACAACAACTTGCAACTTCTGTTGGACTTTAACACCAGTGACTCGTAACTTGAGCCTTTTGGATTAAAAATCACAGATCAAAACATGTTTTTCTCTTGATTTCCTGAATCAACTCAATAACGCTTTTCAATCCAAACAAGTCGAAGCATAATCCCCGGACCCATTTTGTTTGGAACGATCTTTTGTGATTGGCAATCATGTTGGATTATGGGAAATCGTAATTGTAACTATTGATGTTAACCATTCTTCCTTCAGTTTCCCAAAGTCCCACAACTTTGCGGAGAATGAATGCAATGTATAACTATTTAAAGATTTATGTTTATACAACTTTTTTAAGACTTGATAAAGATTCAATCAAAATCTATCTCTTTTTATTTATTAAGTGTAAGTATAGATCAAATATTTGCAGCAGGATTTTGTAGTTTGTGCAACATGAAACGAGAATACATTTAACAACATCATCAAAATGATACCAAAGATAATTTAGTTTGAAACTCAAGTACAAAACAAAAAAAACATTAAAATGGGTGCAATATGACTTGATTAAGAGGCATGACCTTAGAATGAAGTCCTTTTCAAACGATATCTTCCCTCCTCTAAACTGTCAAATATGAATCTAAACATTATGTTAAGGTTGGATATATAGAATTGCTGCAATACTGTGTCCAACACACTCAGTGCCACTCCTCTCACTTCCCCTCCCCTCCTTTACTGATGATTCTGAGCCATCCCTCTCCTCCCTACCATGACCTTTGACCTCTGATCATCAGTTTATCGACTGTGATTATTTTTAGAGCTCCACTTCAGTTGGTGCTGATCACAGTAATAATAATAATAATATGTTCTCCTCTCTCCTTGTGTCCATGTGTTCCTGTCTGTCAGACCACACCCTCACGGCAGCCCCTCCTCTCCTACGGGGACTCCCTCATCAGGTCGCAGGGGCCGGCAGCTGCCTCAGCTCCCTGCCAAGAGCAGCAGCGTAGAGCAAGGTTTGTTGAATGGATCAAGGTTTGATTTCAGAAGATCTATGAAGAATAAAGTCCTGTTAAAGGTCATGTTAGCATATAATATGTTCACTGAAAATAATAATAATAACTTTTTTGTATGGTAGTGACTCAAACACAGTCCTTTTAGAAATGGGCACATCATGTGTAGTGGCATCCAGCTTTCCAAAATGCCACAATAGAACAGAGTTGTGGACACGCAATTCAAAATAATAAGCAGCCTCAAAAATGTAATGTTTTAACAACAAATCTCAACTACTCTTCAAACAAAACTGCATTTATATTTTGGCGGTATACTTCCTCAATTTGGTATCTCAAATCTCACTTATTTTGCTGTCAAAGAACTGTCCTCAATTCCCTCCCCTGAATAACTCCTCTGTACTTGTGAGGAAGACCCAATGGGTTGGCACCACAAGGCACAAGTCATCAGAATTGTTTCGTCAAACACATATTTAACAAAACATTATCAATGTACTGTTAATATAAATCATAATTGAATTTATAAAGTTAAAGATAAACTCCAGGCCCATTTTTAACAAAAGTAGATGGATGGGATTATATGTAGAGGTGGGATTTGGTTCACATTCCTGTCTGAGTTTTTAACCATTTTCAAATCTTACTCAGAAGCCTATTATATTTGTTCTACAGTAACATCCATCAAGAAGTCACTTGAGTGCACATCATGCTCCACCTAGTGTCAGAAGCGAGACCCTGCATGCTGAATATACTCTGCAGTGTGTCTTATTGAGAACACACTGCTGTTTCTGATTTCTACCTTTCTCTTTCTTTGTCCAATCATGTAAACCTAACCCTGTGTTTTCTTGCCTCAGCCCTTGCAGTAGAGGAACGCGCCCGACAGCTGCAGATGAAAGTACATTCCTACCGGCCTTCAGCCTCCCACGACCCCGAGACGGACCTCAAGACCAAACGGGAGGTCAGCATCTTGCGCTCTGTCCTCAGATCCCCTACTCCTCCTACACTTTATAGATGATTATTTAATTGTTCTAATCTCAATTTGAGTATAATCCCCATCCCTCCCCCTGTAGATGTACGCAGAGCAGAGGCGCGGCAGCGACAACATGTCAGCCCGGTCGTCAGACAGCGATATGAGCGATGCGTCGGCCCTCTCCCGCGCCAGCAGTGCCTCCCGCCTCAGTAGCACCAGCTACATGTCTATCCAATCAGAACGACCGGGGGGGCGACTCAGGTCAGTCCTCATTAGTCATATGTTCAGTTTAGATGTTAAGGGTGCTTTTATTACAGTCCTTTTTAAATAAGCCTAAATGTTTGGGCTACAGGAGTATTAAAGCTATTGCATGCTAATCGCTGCGTGTCTTCTTCTGTTTTATTTCTGCATGCTTCATGTTTCTGCTTCCTACTGCATGCTCTTATCTCCTCTCTCCACACACACACACACACACACACACACACACACACACACACACACACACACACACACACACACACACACACATACACTGAACGGTGGAAATCCAAACTAACTGGACTCAGATCCAAGTCATTAGAAGAGGAGAAGAGGGACAGGAGGATATCGTGGGGGGTGGATGGAGAGGAGGAGAGGAGGAGGGCGGCAGGGAAGAGACGCTTCTCTGCCGAGTTGAATCGCAGGAGACACACTGTAGCAGGAGACACCAGAGAGTCCAGGTAAAGAGGAATACTGCCCACACGGGTATTCACTGGTGATGGCAGACCATCCATCTTCTCACTGTTACTCCCCGGGTTTCAATTATAGACAAATCCTCATTGATCTCTGAGGGGGAAGTTATTATCTTTTAGCTTGCAGTCTCCAGAGAGAGGTCAGAGGTCCGCTTGAACCTGTAGTCTGCATCACAGCCTATAGAAAAGATGGATGTGAGGTCATAGGCTTCCAAAAAAGTGGGCGGCAACAGCCAATGCAATCTTGGCAGTGACTCCCCAGAAAAACTATTGTTGGAGAAGAGGCTAGCAGCACACACCTGTCAATCAAAGCTGCCACGCCCCTTATAATGCATTACTTAATTCTGAATTTGAGTCTTCATAAACATTAGAATCATTTTTTTCCAGATTTTTTAAAGAGACTTTATAAGAAAAATATTTTAAAAAATGAGATTAGATAAATGAATGTACAACTAATAAAAACACACTTTTAAAATTGCTAACAAAAAAAAAACATAAAAAATTATCTTAATTAAAACAGTTAAACAGTAGACAACAAATATTATTATTTTCCTGTAAAAAAAAGTATCCTGAATCAGAACACATTCATCCAGTAGGAATGTTGCTGGGGTTTTCTAGACAGTTGCTCAATTTTAGAATGAAATAGAATAAAAGATGAATAACTGAAAATAGAATACAAATATTTGAATAAACATAGGAAGTTAAAGTAACAACGTGCAATAAAAAGATAAAATAATATAAAATATATATGTATGTAGAGATAACAAGTTAAAGTACACATTTTATTTAAGTAATAATAGTTATATTAACATTTAAATTTGAAGTAAAATCACATAATACATTACAGGAACACACACTCACACACATCCACACTCCCAGCTGACCAGTAGCAGTGACAGGGACAAACGACCCCCCCCCGCCTCCTCAGTGAGCCAGGTGATGGAGTGCAGCTTATTAGCCGCTAATGTATTGAGGTCTGCAAGAGGAGAGTCTTTATGGCCTCACGGACAATCCCTACAGGCTCAACTCCCTGGCCTCTGACACACTTTCCAGAGTGGGACACACACACACACACACACACACACACACACACACACACACACACACACACACACACACACACACACACACACACACAGGTCTGGCGAATAAATGACTAGTACATAAAGTATGGGACAAATACAAATCTCCTCCTACCTTTACACAGATCTGGTGTAACCTTAAACCAAATTCTATCAAAATCATCACAGTTATGGATTATTACGCATTTTCAAAAATGTAGTTAAAGGTCACATGACAAGTGTGTTTTGCAATCCAGACAAAAGGAAACATCCCTGCAGTATCATAAACATTCACTTTTATATGTGCACTTGTATGACATTTATTTTTTCCTCATTTTCTGGTATCAAATTATTTTACCCTTGTATATGACCTTGTTTTAATATTGAGTTAATTGATTTCTAAAAGGGAACTTTTTCTATTGCAGTATATGCAATATTTCACAAGTACATTATGATATTAAGTGTTCATCCTGGGAGCCACAATTATCACACATTACTAACAAGATGTGTTGTGACGATTTAAAAGGTTGCCATGGTAACTCACCAGGGCCGTTGATCTGAGACGTGCTGCGACTGCGGCGGTTCCCGACGATGGCCACCACCCTCGCGCTCAGACTGGAGCGCCTCTTCTTGTTGCCCCCGCCCACCGTGCCCAGCGCCGTGTCTGATTGGCTGCCGTCCGTGCGCTCCTGGGTGTAGATCTCTCCGCTCACACTGGAGCTCTTCAGCATCTTACGGCCCACCGAACGCAGCTGCCGACTGGAGAGAAAAATACTGAGTGACCATGTGACCTGGTGGCATACAGAATGGATGTCTCTGTACTGTACCTTTAGCATTGAGGACAAGATGTGATACATAATGATGAATGGAACATTTCAAAGTGACTGAGGTGGAGGAATGGTATTTATTCACACAACGTGGAACAATAACAGATGAGTTTACACCTGGGACACAAAGGAGGGAAATTATGATAACAGACATGTAGCATATCCCAACACATAACTAAAACTTGTAACATGATTGTGATGTCACTTAACTCTCCAGATACATATATTTAGATCTTAAGAGACCATGCTGGTTATGGTTAAATGTTCTAACAGTCCAAAGCTGATTATCATATAATCTATAGCAGTGGTTCCCAACCTGGGGGGCGCGCCCAAGATCGCAGGGGGGGTGCCAGGCCTCAGATGATTTGAGGCCAAATATGATATTTAGACTTTTCTTTTTTTTTTTACATATAATTGTAAAGCAATACAAGGTTGGCACTAAAAGCCTTGTCTCTACATTACAATAAAAACAAAAAAAATAATTGATTAATTCATTTGAATAACAATTCAAGTTAGTAGCTAATAAAGGCAAAGACAAACATGTATAATTCTTTCTTTAATAGAAATGTTGCTTCTGCCCGTAAAGTGTCCAAACCAGGCTTGTCTGGATAAGCGCATTTTTAAAACATAGTTATTGTCCATGCCGGTTTCAGTTGGATCATTTGTCACAGTTGCTCCGATCAGGGGCCTCATTTATAAAGGGATATACACTCAAAAAATGGCGTACGCCAGTTTCTACGCAATGTTTGCGATTTATAAAATACTAACTTGAAGGGAAAACGTGCGGTCCTCCACACAAAACCCATGCGTATGCACAAAGCACAAAAGCGGGAGAGACGAGAAACTGCGACACCGNCAAAAGAGGATCCTTGGAGACAGAGTAGAGGAAACAGGAACTTCATATCCTTAGGAAAGAGGCAAAGCTGCTAACCATCTGTTTCATTACAAGATGCCCCTCAGGGGGCATCTTGTAATGAAACAGATGGTTAGCAGCTTTGCCTCTTTCCTAAGGATATGAAGTTCCTGTTTCCTCTACTCTGTCTCCAAGGATCCTCTTTTGTCAGACCAAACAAATTCGAAATTAAGGAGCGTGCTGAGTAGCCCTCTCTCAAATATATGCACCTCTGAGCTCCTGTGACACCTTATTAGATAGATTGCACCATGTGTTTTTATGAGCACAAGCACACTACTTGCTTTAATTTTGCACCACTTTGCATAAATCTACATACAATAGTTATTCATGTGAGTCCTTAGCTTCTTATATTACATGCACTTGATTATGCATGACCCCTTGTTATGTGCTTCTCTGTGTGTTTGTGACCGCCGCTGCCTGGGAATTGTTTGCCACGTCTTGTCTCTTGGCAACGATGCACCTGCAGAGGAAAGCTGTTGAGGGCTCAGTGTGTGTGGAGCGTTCAGTCATTGAGAGCCATCAATAATTGAGTTGGACTGGAACCATGCACCAGCTGGGGGTTGGCTTGCAGGATGGGACTGATCCTCCTAGGCGAGGTCTTGTTGTACCAAAACCTCCATGTTTTTCATGACTGTCCACTTTTTAAGCGCCAGATTTCAAATCCAGCAGTCATCTCACGCTCTTTCGAGGCAACAACACTACTGAGACATCAACAGCCAGCATCAAAATGTAGGATGAAGGGGTTTACAGTGTTGTTTTTTTTATGCCTGAGGCTATTTTTTCTGCAGCTCTGCCTCTAAACCAAAACATCGCTTTTGTCTGTTTAAAGCCAAAGTGTGTGTGTGTGTGTGTGTGTGTGTGTGTGTGTGTGTGTGTGTGTGTGTGTTGTGTGTGTGTGTGTGTGTGTGTGTGTGTGTGTGTGTGTGTGTGTGTGTGTGTGTGTGTGTGTGTGTGTGTGTGTGTGTGTGTGTGTGTGTGTGTGTGTGAGATATAATCTTTAAACAATGAGTTTACATTTATACAGTCGATATTTTTATTTATTTTTCCCATTTCCCCCCCTCCCGGTCCTAGCTAGTAAATTAACTAACTAAATAAAATAGATACATGTATAGGTTAAAGTAATGTAGAAGATAATATTAAAAGAAAATGTATAGATAAGGGAAAAAAATAATAGTAAGAGTAATACTTGTACCCATATACTCATATGTGTACCCACATATACACATACACATACGTGTGTGCACATACCCACACACATGTATACACATACCTACATACATACATACATACATACATGTATACAAAGACAGAACAAATAAATAAAAATAAATAAAAAATTAATATAACAAAAAAAAACATACACATATATATAAAGGGATAATCTAAAGCCTGTTTTGAAGCATTTGTGATACAACCAGTGGAAGATAACTCTCGGAAATGTCTGATTTAAGGGTGCAATCTGCATAAGGCAGGCTTCACATCCCTCCCTACCACTAGTGTCTGTGGCTCCTTCTAAGTGCTGCTGGTGTGTGTCTGGTCTGATGTAGCGTTGCCAGTCCATGTGTGTTAGTGGGAGAGAGATGGGGTTACACTGACAACCTGTTTGTTCCCCTGGTTAATTGATGATCAGAGGCTACCTAGTATGTGGGAGATTTGCACCGAGTTAATGTTAATCCCCTTTTTTGTATTTTTTTAAAGAGTTACAAAGAGCATTAAAAACAAAGCTATGTCTTCTTGCTATCCCTAGTCAGGTCGTTCAAAGGTCGTGTCCAACCAAAGAGTGATTTTTCCCAATAAGGATGTTTTATTTATATAAAAGTACAAGTCTGTGAACATAAAAATGGGGGATAAGGGAAT